GGCTACAGAGACAAGCCAGAGACCTTCCAATGCATAGTCAGACTTCAGTCTAGCCATGAGCACTCACCGTGCCTGCTCTGGCAAAAGCACAGCCTGGGATAGGGCTTAGTCCCTTGCTGGCCAAAGTATTTTATGATCAAATATCAGAGAAAATAGCGATTTCTCAAGGATGGCTGCAACCATGGACCTCATATGATCACCCTACAGCCTGCCTGGGGCAGGCTGATGTGCTGTCATGTACCAGGGACAGACTCACACCAGGCCTGCCCATGGCTTGTCCCAGGACAGTTTGCAACTCCCTTGCATTGTCCCATCATTTTATTGTCTTGTAGCTGAAGATACCTTGCAGCCATCCCAGAGAAACACCCAGAGCATTTTGGACCGAAAATCTGGTGCAGAGTTCTTGTTATTGTCAAAAAAAAGGATCCCTAGGATGGCCATACTTCCGTGTGTATACAGGAGATGGCAAAATCAGACATAACAGATATTTTAACACCTAGGCTTACCATTCTGAGCTGTATCTGTACAGGACGCAGGTTTTCTTGCATTGTGTCTTCATTCCATCAGCAAAGTACTCCTGATGTACTCCAGCAGGTGTTCAGTCTGGGAGCTCATGCAGGAGCTTTTCTACACCCCTATTGATCCAACTCCCATTACCAGCAGTTTCCCTGAAATACAGTTCTGATTTTATTAGAGATTTTTATAAAAGTGAATGCCTCCTAGTCTGGGCACTGAGCAACTACTGTGTTGCGCATCATTTGGTGTAAGGGATGTTTGTATAGGCAAATGAGCTGCACAGCCTTACCCAGAGAGGATCCTCACAGTCCTTCTGAGCTGAGCTCATTCCACAGGCCCTGCAGCACACATCTATTTTATATTGTGTATCTTTAATTCTAAATTAGTGTATTGTAATATTAAATGCTCCTTCCATTTTATTTTCCAGTCAAAAGAAACAAGACTGCTTGGCTCAAGTTCTTTGCTTCATTCATTATTTAAAGATCATTGTGCAAGGGAAATGAACTCTCTAATATTTGAACTCTCTAATAGTAGATAACTAAATCTAGATCCAAATTTCTGTGTTTCAGACTCACTTAATGTGTTTCAGTCTTCTAAGAGCACTTTAAAGATATGAAGTGCAGTTCTTGGGGACTGGATCTTGCAAAAGATAATGTTTGGGATTATTTTAGTAAAGAATACTTTAATGTACTGGGCTATTCTGTAACAATCTGATATTCTTCAGCTTAGATTTCTTGAGTGCAAAAAGGATGAGAGAGGTACAAATAGCTGGCTACAAGTTTGCACTTCCAAATGTTCTTCCCATTTACTTTCTAAGATTTTCTTGACAATTTTCTCCCCAAAGGGCTGTTTGGCAAATCCAGAATCGGAACCTGTCAAGGGCCGAAGGTGCGGCGCTGACCCCTGCAAACAGATGCGGGAGGCAGCTGCGCCCCTACAGCCGGTCACCGCCGTTGCGGCTCTGGGATCCCGGTCACTTCCAAGGGTTCCGCTCCCGTCCCTGCGCTTCCACCGAGCCTTCCCCAAGCAGCGCTCCGTCGCGGCCCGGTGTCCCCGCGCTGCCCCCTGGCGGCAACGCGCGGAGAGCCACCCGGCCCCTCCCCGGCCCCGCCTCAGCCCCGGCCCCGCCCCTGGCCCCGCCTCAGCCCTGGCCCCGCCCCAGCCCCTCTCCTGGCCCCGCCTCAGCCCCAGCCTCGGCCCCGCCTCAGCCCCGGCCCCGCCCCGGCCCCTCTCCTGGCCCCGCCTCAGCCCTGGCCCCGCCCCGGTCCCGCGCCTGGCCCCGCCTCAGCCCGGCCCCGCCTCGGCCCCGCCTCGGCCTGGGCCCAGCGGAAGGCGGCGAGCAGCGGCTGTTTTGTATTTCAATCTGCGGCTGTTTTGCATTTCAGTCTGCGGCAAGAGCCTTCGAGAGCTCCCAGGCCGTGCGCCGCGGACTCCAAAAAGGCAGCAGCTTGCTGTTAGGTTTTGGTTTCTGCACAGGCCTGGCAAACAGCAGTCAGTTCACCCTTGGCCCCGCAGGGAGCGCTGCCTGCCGTCCCTTTCCCCAGTGATCGCGCAGGATCTCGCTCGCTCTTTAATCGGTGTACTCCCCCGTACCCCCACAGCCCCTGCTGTGTCCCAGCCCCGCGCCCCAGCAAGTGCCTCCGTAACCCAGCTTGAACGTGATTCCTCTGAACCAGCTCCAGATATGCTGAATATATCCGTGAACGTAAAGTGTTGGTTGCTTTTTTTTTTAAAAAATGCTGCTGTTTTATTTTTTATACAAACTAAAACACCAGAGGTCATTGAATCCTATATTAAATACATAAATTAAAAAATAACCATTCATAAAACTTTACATACAATAAGGATTCTCTCCTACACGTTAATACATATAGTACAGGTACATGTCCAATGTTTATCAAAGGGTCATTCTGCAAGTAATTTACAATTTTGTTCTGGAATAGACACCAAAAAAATCTGGAACAAAAAGTATATATAAAACCACAGAGGTGCTGATGTGAGAGAGGGCAGGGGAAGAAAAAACCCTTTGGATCACCAGCAGCTGAGTGTTCTCTGAGCCCTGCTCATGTCATGAGAGCCTGGCCTGGACAGTCCTCGTGGGATGCCATAGAACTGAAAGCTTCGGGTTTCAGCGGATGTTTCTCACGGACATAATGGTAGCTGGTTGGACGATTAACAACACCTTAAAAAAAATTCTCCATTGTCCTCCAGGCACATCAGTAAGAAAGGATGGACCTGTGAGCCATGCTGCTAACACTGCAAGAAGTACCATTTCCTTACTGCAACCCCAATTGCCTAAATTCGTCTCACGTAACCAGGCCCTCATCTGAAGTGTTTAAATTCAAAACTAGTCTTCAAAGTCTCATAACTTGGTCACTGGGGGGAAAAAAAAGCAAGTCAGATTGTGGTCAAGCTGATTTGTACTACCTTCTGTGGCTCACCTTCTGCTTTGGCAGGATGGATAGCCTGGAGTGCTGCCACTCCTGAACAGCCTTGAAGGGATGCACGGGAGGGAGCCAGGGCTGTATTCACTGTCCTCAAAGGCTGCAGTACATTGATTTTATTTTTGTTGTTGGCTTTGGGGAGGGGAGGTTGGCTACAGTGACTAATCTGAGGGAGGATTCTCAATCCTTTGCTTCAATGAACATCAGGAACAGCAGAAAGCCCAGGATTAACAGTCAAAGGAGAGTGAAGGGTCCAGAAAAAAAGAATCAAAAAATTAGCTGCCCATGAGATGTGAAACTAAATCTGGAGGAATAATCTGGATTCAGTTCCCCATGCCTAGATTAAAGTACATTTTTGTAAGCTACAGCAATATTTCTATATACAATCAGGAATTGGTAAGTATATGCATATATATGTATATATATGTACATATACATATAGATACATGTGTATATATATATACACACAGACATGAAACTCATTTTATCTAGCTGATAGCAGAAAGTTCCATTAACTCACATCAGCATGTGTGTTTTAGGCATGGCATGTGTTATGCTGCAAGGAGAGTAAAGCAGCGGTGGTTCAGCTCCCTGGAGGGAAGAACAATCTTTGAAAAGTCTGCAGATCCAGGTCTGCTGCAGTCAGACTACCAGCACCCATCCCACCCTGAACCCCTGGCAATGCAATACCTGCATGCATATGTATACACACAGGAGTAAGGGAGGGCAAATTAGACAAAAAAGAGAAATTAAATAAGATAACATGACTTAGGGAGTCTAAATAATGAAGCCTGCCACAAGACCAGTTAGGTACGTTGTAAAAGTGTGTATTTCTAACTGTGCCATAAACCTTCTGTATGATTGCCTGAAATAAATGTTTCTAGGGGTTTTTTTTTAAACCAAACCAGCGGTGGAAGTTATTGCACCATCACTGAAACCAAGAGCTGCTAATTCTTCTGCAAGAACTCCGTGCTTTAACTGCCAGCCCTAACACTGAGGAAAGCCACCTGAAGGTGGCAAATTACCTGATGCAGCAACAGAGGAGAAAAGAGTGAGGTGGGAAGGAACAACCAGAGAGAAGGCTCCCTCTAGCTAACAAGCTGCTGCTAAGCTGCTCAGAAATCTCCAGCTGTCACAGGAGTGGGACCACTCTTCAGGGCCCAACTCCAGAGCTTCAGGACTGAACTGCTAGCTCATGGAAAGCACAACCTTATTCACAGAGTCTTCTGCTAGGGAAAGGAATTTGAAAAAAGCCCACGCAATATGCCTGCAGTCATGTAACGTATCTACCTACAAGCATATTTCTTTAAAAATGAGCCAGCAAACATACAGCTTGGTGCCAGAACTCAGTAAACCCCTTGGCTAAGCCAGTGTTTCAAGAAGATGTGGTCATTCTATAATTTAGATTAACTTTAAGGAGCAGGAAAAAAAATCACTTGCTAATAACTTCTAATCTTCCATGGAAGGTTTAACACTATCTCCTGGCACTCAAGGAATAAGGATGTTAGGATGTTAGCAGTCTTTGTGGAGAAACTGAAATGCAGTTAGTCAAATGGACATTACTGATTAAAAGCTATTCTGGCAAAAAAAAAAAAAAAAGGTATCTGTGAGGGGCAGGCATCATTGACACCAGAGAAACTCCCTCCCTCCTATGGCTAAGGAACTGCTTTTGATGTGCTCCGGCAAGTAACCTCACTGCTTTGTGCCTCAGCTGCTTTGTCTGTAAAAGTAAACAGGCAAGCAAAGGAGAAGATCTTTGAGAAACTCTTTGAAAGCTCTTAAAAAGCTTCTGATGTGCGTAAGATGTTGGTACATGTGATCCCTGCTTTGAAGGTGTAAGTAATGTACAAGCTGTATTCTGGCCCTTAATTTTCTAGTTTTTAGTACAGAAATCCACTTCTTCTAGTTAAAATTAAGGCTCCATTGCAGATAGAGCCTGGCCACAGGAATCCAAAGTCGGAACAGGCAGGACTCCGTTCCCCAGAAGATGAAACCAGAGGCACTGAGCAGTGCACTGTCAGCCCACCAGTGAGAAAGGGAGGGTGGGTGCAGCTGGCTGCACTCCTTCCTCAGCACAGGACTCACAGTGACTGCTGCAGGCATTGTGCTCCTCAGGGAGTGCTCTTCTGAAAGACTGCAGGAGTGCATGGACCTACATTTCTGACAAAGCGATGGGGGCATGGACCTATGGCCTCAGGGAGGCACCACGGCTGGGTTCCAGGCTTCATGAGTACAGAGGTAAGTAATGCTTTCAAATGAAAACTACTTTTAGTTACTCTTAACTGTGGAAAAATCTAAACAGACTAGCAATATTTCTTATCTGTAATAAGGTTGTGTTCACAATGTTTTTCCCCATTTTTGGTCTATGTATCATTGATCGGGAAGCCAACAAAGTCAGTTGACAAGCTGAACATTTTTTCCAAGCTGAGACAAAACAGTTGGAAGCTGATGCTTTGTGAATCATGTCATATGGATAAGGGGATTAGCTTTCCTCGATGCCCTGTCCTCCAACATCTCTTTTCTTTCTCAGAAGCTATTCTGTAGGTCCAATTCAGTGGTTACTCTATAGTGAAACCAAGTATAGTCTTGGTTTTATTATCTCAATGGCAGTCTTTAAAGAGTATGAAAAGTATCTGATAATAGACAGGCTGTTCTTCATGGAGGGATGGTGAAGAGAGATAAGGCTTCAGCTCCACTGGAAACCCTCCTTATGCCATCCACCCTCTTCTGCCATGCCTTGGCCAAGGCCAGTGGTGCTGTGTAACAATCTCAAGCACAAAACATGGCGATCTGTCCTGCCCACCCTGCAGTAACACACACTGGGCTTTTTTCCTTTCTTCCTTCCACATTGCAGCTGTCATTTGTTCCTGAGGTTAAAACCAAAGAGGGAGAGCAGGAGTCCCTGCAGCGAGAAAGCCACATACTTCAAACTGAACACTTTGTTGTCAGCATCTCTTGAGTTTCTCCTACTCTCATCTGTTCATTTTCGATCCATTTGTCAGATGACAGGGAAACATTTAAATGATTGCCCTGCACAGCAGGAATAGATTTTTCAATTGTAACTTTGGTTCCATGCCCAAGACACACTGACTTGATCAGCTGAAAGTGGTCCCTTCCCTTTAAGTTCTTCCTAGGTGATGTAGGTTATCAGTTTATTTTTCTTCCCCTTTTGTAATTTCAACATACAGGATTTCATTAGATGCAGCATATATCATAGCTTTAGACAGGAATTGTCAGGTAACAAATTTTGAGTGATGGCTTTAAAATACAAGGTGGTTGCAGTCTTGGCTACAGGTTGTTCATTTTTATACATTTGAAAATAGGTGTAAACAATATTCTCTTCATCGAGGGGTGGAAGCATTTGCCTTTATAAGGACTTATCTGTGTGGTCGGGCACTCTAAAAGTTAAAAAAAAAAAGAAAAAGAAGAACATCTGTATCAGATAAGGTGTAAGTTTCTAAGTTCCTCTACCTACCTATCCCAGATTTGCAAAGATAGAATCAATATATCAATCAGGAAGCTGAAAAGGCTAGTTCTTGTAGCTATCAGTATGAAACTGGTTTTGTCTGCATGAAAAGCACTTGTGAGAATTCTGTGTATTTTGATAAGCTTGTCCATTGAAACCCCACGAAGTTCAACCCTGTGGTGCATAAAAGTCCCCATGGGCATGTTCACATGAGTAGTATGCATAAGTTTCAATGACTCTTGAACCAAAGCTGCCTACAATTCACCCATAACAAGAGCCACGGCAGCAGGCAATATCCTTGGGGTGTCAGAGCAAGCCCGGAATTTTGCAGCACTGAGGCAAACAGAAACTGCTGATGTTCTGAGAAAGCCTACCTTACCTATAGAAAATAACTTTGGTTCTCAGGTTTGAGACCAGGGGAAAAAGGGCATATTTTGTCTTTGTTATCTCAGCATTTAAGCCTACATAGTAAAATTCACTGGGTGCAAAATCCACACAGACCACACTTCCTTATGTGATCACAAATAAGTGGATACATATGTTCACAAGCACAGAGAAAATGCAGGTAGGAAAATCCCATATAAACAGGAATGAGAGCGCTTCTGGTATGGATACTGTATCTGCTGCACATGGCTTCCTTCATTTGCACATTCTTGTCCTTTGTTATTGCAGTACAGCAGTGAGTCAAGTGTTCACTCTGGGTGAGAAGGAAACCAGAAGGTATCATCTGTGACCACATTGTGGATTTCTCTCTCCTGCTTAAAAGACTGGCAAAGGATAAACTGCACCAAGGCATGAACAAAACCAAAGACTTTTCACCATCAAGTGGCTCCCCAGCATGAGCTGGGCTTTTTGTTTGTTTTGTCAGGGATCTGTACGAAGTCCCTTATGATAAGGCTACGACAGTTCACTTCCATCCAGTAGAAGTAAAGCACTTTTGTAGTATATATATATAGTATATTATACATATGACAAAATATACAGCTCAATAGTTGTAAGAAGAAATGCTGATGGCACACTCCCCATGCCGTGCTCACCTTTGCTGAATTAAATCACCTGGGTAGGCAGGTGTTTTTTAACGTGAATGGGCAACACAAATCAATGTTAGTTATTCTCTCCAATTCCATGTATTCCAGCCTTGGAGAATACGACTGTGCTAAAATCCCTCTCCTTCTTGCCAACACCATTCCCAAATTGCCTGTGTCTGGAGATTTCCCCTCAGGTACTGAAGGGAGAGGATCCCATAGAGGAAAATGCAGGGGTGAAGGCAGGGGATGAGGAGCTTACCATTACCTTGTTTTTGAGGAACTGCTACAAGACTTGATGCTTTGCACCTGTGGAGTGACTGGCCTTGGTAAAACACTCTACAGGTGTCATGCGTGCTGTGATGCTGGGCCTGCTGCAGCTGTCTTTACAGTTCAAGGGAGTTCACAGCAGTGCAGATCCTCTGGAAAAGCATTGAGTTTATATATCCCCCACACACACCTCTCCCGTAAGACTTTTCCACCTTCACAGTCCATGTCGATTCTGTAAGTCACTGTATCTCCGCTACTGTCACGGCTCTTTTCCTCTGTCACTCAGCTCACCGTAATCTGTCTTGTTGATCCCCACCTGATGTTCATCAAGCCAAATATGTAAAAGAAGGATGGGAAAGGCAAAAGAACCCTTCACCTCCTGAGTGGTCCTAGGAGTGCCACAACTGCCTGGCAGGCTTTATGGGGCTGTAACCCACATTTCAGCTCCTGCTGATGCTTCTCATTGTCTCTATGGGGAACTGGAGCCCTGTGTGCTCCAGGGACCAGCCATTATGGAGCAACAGTGACTTCAATGAGTGAAACTCAGCTTGGCATTGTAGTTAGAGCAGCATTCCTGGGCTCAACAAAGTGATCTCGAAGGGATTTACACCTGCTAAACCTTAGATGTTATGTAAAACAAGAGGAAAACCCATTGAAGGAGATTGGGCCAGAATGGGGGGTGGAGGGTGGAGAGAGAAAGGGTGTGAGGAGGGAAGTGAATTCTTGACACAATCCCTAATGGATCCATGTAAATTCCCCTGCAATGACATCGGTCAATTGTGAGCTGGGACAGTCGTGTATGCCTTAAGGACAGCACATAAATGTTTATATTGTTTTGATTTTTAGTCCTGTTCAATGAACATGACAGCAAGATGTGCATCAGCTCCGTGAAGAGCAAGAGCTGAACAGGACCCAGCAGCCCATGGAGGCAGGATGACTCCAAGTGAAAAATAGCAAACCTCCTAGGACTTAGGAAAAATATGGAGTTCTGACCTCAAGCATCTCATTAGCTTTTCTAACCAGCCAATACCTGCCCTCAAAAATTAGGCCAAAAGGTTAAGTGTTATTAGCAAATGGTATTAGCAGATTGGTATTGGTAATACTAGGACGTAAAAGCTCACCAATTCTGTAGCTGTACTAGAAGAGGCAAATACTCATTAGAGAACCAATGCCATACCCACACTGGTGGAAAATGTAGGTGCAAACTGTATATATAGAAAACTCTGAACCTCTTATTGCCCAAGTTTTTCTCATATGCTGCACAAGGACATTATTTCAGTTGTGACAGGAACGAAAAAAGGAAAACAGTACAGGCAAATGGAAAAAAGTCATGCAGGCAGGTTCTCACAAATGTCACTACAAGTTCCTGTGATTTTTCAAGGAGCACCTTAAATCCAATATTTTTGTTAATTTGGAATCTCCCTCTAGGTTGACTGCTTGTTCTAGACTCATGATTCTGTGGTACAGCAAAAGACATAGTCATAGAAAGTTATTTGCTACTACTGTGTACTGTGAAAATCTTGGTTTCTTAAAATTATTCTGTCCACAATTTGGTCACTTCAGAAGAGTTTCTAATTTTTTTCTCCATTATGAATAAGCAAGAAACTGTGAAGTCAAACTTCCACCAGTCAGAGATACCTAAAACATCTCACAGCTATACTATGCTGCACCATGGTTCTCAGAAATCCTGCAGTAGGAACACAATTAATGCAGTCATAAGTTATTGTGTTTCATAATCACTGGATCAAGGCAGTATGTTTGAAACTGCAGCAACTTGATAATGATACTGACTCTTGTTCACAAGAGCTGTGATCACTGATCTGTCTGCATTTCTCCTAATTCTTCTCTATGGGTTGTTCCTCATTCAAGCCAACCTCCAGGTATATTGCTGCCTCAGCCCATGGAAACATTCATTTTGAGGTCTGGCCAAACAAGGACACAGTGGATTCCAGCTGAAGTGACTAATTCTGAGAGTTGTCTCTGCATCAGCACAAAAGTGCAAATGAAAGCTTGGATCTAGCTGAAATAAAACACGAAGTAGGGGCTTTTCCTTAAAGGGAAAAGGGAAACCCACCAAACATGACCCATGCCACTTAATTATAATCAATACCTTGAATTGTATCTGGAAACAAAAAATGAGCTGGTACAAATGGTGGAAGGGCAGAACATATTTCACACAACTGTATCTCAGCTTTTATCAGGTGGAGAGCAGAGGAATTATTCATTAACACAGCTGAAGCCAGAGCCAAGAGAGACTGAGAAATTTAATGGTATGGGTCTGTCCTCAAATCAGAAAATTATGCTGTCATTACATGTTCTTGAGACTTTAACATTATGTTTTCTATGCTATGTTCTACTTTTGTTATCCTGGATCAAAAGAAAAATTGTCCTAGCCCAGCATCCTTGTTCTGGAAGTGGCTAGGCACAGATAAAAATGGGACCATTATAGTTCTCTGATTTATTTCCCCATCTTCACATTACCTTTTGAATTCAGAACTTTCAGCTGCTAAGCATACTGTGAAAGACTTCTTTACCACCTGTACCCTTAACTATGAATTTTTGTTTCTTTAAGCTTGTTACATGGTAATTGATTCTATTAGACGGTGAACAATAGCAAGCTGTCTGTCCGTCCGTCCATCCATCCATTCTATGACAATTTTTTTAGACCTCTCCAATACCTCCTATTAGCAGTGTCACTTCCTGAGCCATAAAAATACTTCCATTTCTCTATCTCTCCCTTCCTGTCTCTCAGCAGTTGATCCTTCTTCCTTGTCTTTCTTTGTATTTTTCCTGCTACAGGACACTTGTTTTAAAAAGTAGAGCTGCTGCTCTACCTGTTTCAAAATCCTGATCTCCTTCCTCAGTGCTAGTTCAGAGTGTGTTTACGGTTGAGGTTATTTTAACTGTTTTCCATCTGCATCCCTTTGTAAACATCAACATTAAATTTCCCCTGCAATTCCCTTGGCTTTTTGATACTGTGAAATTCCTTGTTAGCTTTTATTTTTCCAATTATGAATAGCACAATATCACCAGCAGCTTGGCAGTACAACAACCCCCTACTGTGAACTACTGCAAATCGACAACAACCTGCTGCATTTGCAGACTCCAAACATCCACAAGAACACACAAGGATGTGATCCTCCGGTCTGTGCAAGAAGTGCTAGCTTTGAGGAAATAAATAAAACAGTCTTACCTTTCCAAGAGGCACATTGACATCAAGGCCAAAGAATAAAGGCAAGAGAGAAGAACAAGAACAGAAATAGAAACTGCAGAAGAAAAATAAGACTGTGTAAAAATTAAAGATAATGGCATTGCAAGCATCAGAATTATTTTTGCACTCTGTAGAACAACTCAGTTAGAGTATTTATTAATTCAGAAAACACTGTTACTCATTACTAATGAGGGTAACACTGTTACCCTCATTACTTCTGTAAGTACCACATCACCTCCCAGGCTTAGAAAACAGATCCAAATAATTTTGGTGATGGATTACAATTGGCACCATATTGAAAGCCTGAGGTGTAACTATCACATCATGATACCCCAGGGGTTGACAAGTCATAAAGCTAGGTAACAAAAATAGCATGTGTGGTATTTTTAAACATGTTAAAAGACAGAGGCTGCAATCCATGCTAGAAATAGCCTGGATATATAAATACATAAATATAAACTTATATATATGTACACATGTATGTTTATAGTACCTACACACACCCATATCAAACACTCACCATTACATGTTTAATAATGTAACGTAGTGTTTTAAGATTAAAGTCTGTATCTACTGACACAAACTGAAAAGAAAGGACAGCGGACCACCACCAACAGGTGGAGCTGACTGAGCAGAACTAAAAGCTCATATAGTTCAAGAGAACTGGATGACTACTTTCAAAACAAAGTTAATCAGTGCACTTCAAAGGATAACAGAACCAACCTTTTCCTCCAGATCCTTAATTTGTCTCTTTTGGATGTCAGTTTTATCTTCTAAATCTCGGATCCTCTGGAAATCAGAAAAGAAAGCATATACACTAAATTCTCAGTAAATCTATCCCACTTAAGTAGCTTAATGTTCCAAGGGCCAAAACCCCAGAAATCAACAAATGCATTTCTGTGGCAGGGACAATCTTGTGTCATACTGTGACTCTATCCACTCATCCCGCCAAACCACAGCTTTACCATGTGTGCAACTGCTCAAAATATGATCCTGCATATATGTATCTGGATCCTTAAATGCTAGAAATTAGTATAAATGACTGATAAGTAATATCTCCAGGGAAGGAAACTATACATACTCCCTGGGTAATCTGATCAGTGGTTGGTTACTCACACAATGAAGAAATTCTTTTTGATGTTCAGGTGGAACCTCTCGTACAACGGTTTCTGTCCACAGCCCCCTGTTCTATTGCTTGGCTACCTCCTCCTTCCTTTGCCTCTCAGCCACTTCCAACTGAGGCTGGCTCAGAGTCATTCTGAGAAGCCAAAACTGCTGTGGCAGCGTCCCTCAGGGCAGTGTCCCTCGGGGCAGCTGGCATGTTTAAAATCAAGAAGCTTCTTATGTTGCAAAGGCCTGGCATCAAAAGGTGGACGCAGTCTCAAGTGCCCAACTCAGGATCAGGCAAAACTGTGAGAGCTGAGCCTTCCTGTGAACCAATTCCCCCTAACCACTGGGGATGTGCTTCTTCTCTTACTCCCATAAATGTCTGAGTCAGATCTGTTTCATGGTGCAGCTTTCATGTTATTCAATGTGCTGTGACAATTTGCCATTTTGTTCTGGGACCTCACAGCTTGCAGAGCAGCAAACAACAGTCTTTTAAGGTAAAATGCAGTACCTTATCTCAGCAGTGAAAAGTACAAATCCCCACTTGGGAGGGACAAGTAGTATCTGGAAAAACAGACAGCTCTCCTGTGCCATACGAGCCAGCAGCATTTACTCCGTTTCTCTCGTGCCCAGTCCAGTAACTAGAGATGACCATTTTTATTACAAAGCTAGAACTGTGCAGACAGAATTCTGGATGAAAACTTAAGGCTAGAATTTTAAAACTCAAAATATGCCAGAATAATCTTGCACAAGCTAGTATCATGTGTGCTTGCATGCAGAGAAAAAACAAAGTAAGAGACAATTCAAAAAGCTGGATGCCAGGCTCCCTCATGGCCTACAGCTTGCTTAGATTTGAGCTCAGATTGTGTTCTTACAAAGAAAGGCTGAGAAGACACCACATGTGTGTGGTTTCCTCTTCTTACCTGATGAGCCTGCTGGAGCAGCTCCATCCTCTCCTGAAGAATCTGGCAATCATATTCTCTGCTCTTCCTCAGCATCTGACGTCTTAGCTTTTCTACTGCTGTCCTCAGCTCTTCCTGCTGTTTTTCAGTGAGTAGTTCCCCAAACTTTATCACTGTTTCTTGCTGCAAAGCATTGTACAAGGTCGCTTCAAGCTCCTGGATCCTCTGGTTGATGCAATACCAAAAGTCAATTAGAGATGAAACATGGTTTAAAGCACATTGGAAACTGGGGGATTGGTGGCAGATTCAGACCCCTGCATGAGAGGCAGTCCCTGTGCTCAAGTGTGCAAAAATCTGAAAAACTAAACTCAGAAAATGGTTCTATGTTCTGAAAAAAGGATAGGAACTTTTATTTTTAAAGTATTTTAATATTAACTTTCACTGAAATCCTTCACTTCTACTCTTTTTTTATGGAGTTAGAGTTGGACAGAATGTTCCTATCTGAAGTGTAAATTATTTCACCAATTCTAAAATTTCCACCTGTTGCCCTAAAAAACTGCAGCTGGACAAGCCAATATTAATGAGCAATATCTGCCTTAAACTGACAAGAGTTTCAGACTTCAGGAGATGTGCCTTTTTATGACATGAAAAGGTGAGCTACTGTGTTGAAGCTGTGCAGATTGCATGCTAGTACTCAGAAGAAAGAGGAAAGAACAAATTTTTAAAAACCCAGTACTAACAAAAAAACAAAAATCTCTCCTCCTGATTCAAGAAAAATCTGCATGCTATTGCAGAGCTGGCCAGTATGTGCTGCAGAATTTCCTTTGTACATACCATGTACGCTTGGTCAAGAGCTTGCTTTCTGTAGTCTAATTCTTCCTCCAAATAACCTTTTATTTTGCAAAATTGCTCCTACAATGAAGGATCATTTGGACAGAAAAACAAATTAGTTACTCCAAATACTTTAGGAAGTTTTATCAAATCATTTACAGATATCTAATTCAGCAGGACAAGAAGACTGGTTTTCGACTGATACTCAGCAGAGTTATTAATACCTGACTCAGCTAGAAAAGAAGGAAGGGCAAATAGCTGTAGATTGCTCTTGTAAGTGAATACGTCTGACGTACATGGAACTAAATCCATCCTCTCTGTTGGCTTCAGTGGTACTGCTTGGCATTTCAGTAGTGAAATTTAGGGTGTTCTTTGTGATTTTTCTAAAGATATGTCCTCTGGCATCAGGAATTACTCTTTTTGTGCCTCCTCTTATTTTTGAAGAGGTGTAAAAGTGGACTGAACTAAAGAGGAACTAACTATACATTCACATTCACATTCCTTGGGAGCAGCTGCTGTGCATTATCTTATCAGTCCACCTTAAGATGAACAGACTTAAGTACAGACATATCACAGGAACAAAACAAGCCACTACTGCTGTCTAATTCTTGTAGTTATGTTTGTTCATCTTGTAGGCTGCTGCCATTAACTCGAATAAGAACAGGGTAAGGTATTAACTTTACTTAGTGTGTAATGAAAGCCAACAGTGTTATGATTCATTTCAACAATTTCTCACATGCTGGTCCTGAATAAAATGCAATACAACAGCTGATGTTTAGGCTGTGAATCTTATGAGACAAACAATGCATGCATCTCTGAAAATTATTGAGAAACCTTTGAGCCCTTGGTACTTGTTAATAAACAGTCATCCTCGTAGAAAGAGAGGCATTTTTTAAACTTTTACTATTGCTGTTACTGTTATTCTGCATGTGAACTGGACCAGGAACAATTTTATGGATTCACCAATAATCAGACAAAAGGTGCATAGTTCATTTGTCAATACACTTTCCTAGTTATTTTTTGGCACATCAAGTAAGCGTGACACAATCAGTGTCCCTAAAACATGTAGTAAGAAAAGTTTTCTTACCATATCACTTTCCAGTTCCATCATCTTCTGATGCAGAGCAGCTTCAGCTCCCTCAATCTGCTGGATCCACTGGAGAGAAGACAATGAGACCTGTAACCTGCTGTGTTTTCTACCACACAAGCAGTGCCAAATGAGCTATGTACAGCATCTTGTTGGTCTGTTTTTTGCAGCCTGTTGCTGCTGAGCTTATCTTGAGGCTGTTTGTGACAGAGGCCATGATGTCTGCATGTAGCACTAGGCAGGGAAGCAAGCAAAAGGATCACCACTGCTGGGTCACCAGAAGATGGAAAAGCACACACCCTTTGATGGACAAGGAACCCATTCCATCCCATGCATAAGGGCCAACAATGGGTCTATAGCATCTCAACAATAGCTTAGTTGGCTTTATGGCAGTTCTGTTTGAAGCAGAGGCATTGTTGTGCAGAATCCTTGGAAGCTGAAATCATGTTGAAATCTGCGTGCTGCATTTGAGCCTTAGAAAGCAATTTTAATCACCCCCCACTTTCTTCCTAATTTTTGAAACAAGAAATATAGACACATACTTTCAGTGATATTTTGGCATACAGATGCTTTTGGAAGCTTTAGAAATCTCAGGACTGTAAATCCCAAACTTTATCTAATTACAGCTTAAATTTCTGATGATTTCTCATTCGGTTTTCAATTGCAAGTTTTGTTTCATATTATTTTTGTATTTGTAGTTTTTTCCATTGCACAGCTTGGGCCAGCTCAGTTTGTTATTTTTGCTGCTTCAGCAAGGTGTTTGGGACTGTGCTGGCACAGTTTATTTTATTTGGGGAATACTCCCAACAGTAGAAAGTTTAATGATATTGATGACAACAACAGGGCAGAAAATGTGTTAGATGAGGCTTTAGATAACATGTAAGAAAAGCAAGCATGTGATTTACCTTTTCTGCCAAGGACAATACCGTGGAAGCCTGAATTATAGCCACTTGTTCTTCATTCCTTAAATTCTGTGAAGAGAATAACAGGAAAGAGGAAAATTGGCAGCAGTTTCCTTCATGAACAAAGACAATCCAGCCTACAAACCAGCTCTACAGTTTTCAGAGAATACCTGTAGTACTGAGTATTCAGTTTCCATTGAAACATTCAGAGTCTGTTCACATATTATATTAAGAAGACCACTAGTTTTGCCTTTCTACATGATATGGATTAATTGTATCATTCATTCCATTACACCTAAAGAGAAATGTAAACTAAAATTAGACCCATTTGTTTGTCTTCATGCTAGTTTTACAAAGCTGAATTTCCATTAAAGCTTTTGTAAAAATAGTGCTGATCTACATCAGCACATGAATAGACAATAATGATTTTTTGTTTTTATTTCTTATAAACTTTTTTAAGACGTATCTAATGTTGGCCAGAGATACAGCATCTCTTTTACATGGGCAGCTATGCCCTCTTAGAAAGCCACAGGGAATTTGATAATTCTTGCCTATTTGTGAAACTGTAAGAAAGAATCCTAGTCCTGATGAAGAGTGGTTTACTCAGACTGCTGAATTCCTTCATGTGTTTTCCTGAGTGAACAGGGCCCAGTCCCAAATATTAGTAGTCTTTGGACATTCTTCCCAGTCTGCTAAACCGTACAGAACAGATGCATAATTTAACAAGTATCTTTGAAAATAGTCATAACTATACATAAAACTTACTGCACTGTACAAAATGCAGCTTGTAAAGACAAAATATCTCCCATTTCAACTTACCCCATTATCACCTAGGATGTCTAACTGCTTTATAAGGTCTGGGATGCTGACATCCTGCAAAGAGAGAGTAAGGTAAAGGCATGGCATCCACCTTTTATTATGGCTGTAATATCCATCTATCCTATGAACAACATGGAAGTCAGCCATTTTGTTTTATCCTATGGAAATGCATCATACATTGATTTCAATTGCCTTTGAACCAGATTTTATCATTATGGAGAGAATTTTGAGTCTAATTGAACTGTGTCTGTCACCACACTCTTACATTAGACCATTTTTAAATACCTAAAGTCTAGTGGAGTTATTTGTAATGGATTATATGGGCAGCACCCACCACTACTTCCACTTCTCCTTAGGGAGAAGCACTCCTTTATACAACTGACCTACCTTAACCCCTTCCTTCATGCAGTAGATCTGTAGAGCACTCACACCATCTGAGAATGGGTGAATCTGGAGATTAAATGGTGGGGACCGTCTCTCTCTTTCCTGCAAATTAATTGAAAAGATGCTAGAGAATCTATTAGAATGAAGGAGATGCACATAGGGAATGCCATAGCTGCTGTTTCTATCTTGGCTTTGCAAGCCAAGCTCTTCATTCTATAAGCCAAGGAAAGAATCATGTAGACCTAGTCTGAAAAAGTGAGCCAAGTCGGACAGGATCCTAAATCCAACGTAACTACTTAACAGGAAATTATTTGATAAATTATGCCAATTTGCAAACTGGCTGTGGAAAGGCTGTCACCTAGCTAAGATTCAAGTGATTTGCTTTATTAAGTGTTGAACAACTGTACATGATTGTAAGTACTCCCTTTAGAAACAGGTGTTTGACTTCAGATATTGGGAGACTCAGATTACATATTTTCCTCATCCTGGTATGCTACACATTCTAACATCTGTGGAAAACCGTATGTTCAAAAAAACTGATCGACATAGCTATTTATAGACCTTTATCGCTTAAAATTTACAAATATTTGTGCAGTTTTAAAGGACCAAAGACAAGAAAAAAAACTGAAGATGCTATTTCTCATTCCTTTCAGGTATTCAGGCAAGCATGGAAGTAAAGATTAGACTTTACTTTCACACATATTTTTGGTTTATGAATATGTAATTCATTTGAGCAGTTCAGCTCCCTGCCATATGGAAACACAGCCGTCAGGTAAAACTGTAGGACAGTTCTATGAATAAGGGGCAAGTCTGACACAGCATTAAGTTATGAGAACCAGGAAGGTCTCTGTGTGGCAAATGTATTTGCCCTTGGACAGCAACTGAAAAGAACAAATAAAAAATAAACCATCTTACACTGGGGAAGAGAGCAGGTGAAATTTTGGTTGGCTGGCACTCCAAAGAAGAGTCTGGAACTAGAGGCAGTCTGGGAAGAAGAAGCTTGAGGTCCTGCAGAGGCTTCTAAAGCTCCTGCACCAATGTCCAGTGTCACCTGAGAGACTGTTTGCACCCACTGCAGGTCATGGAAGAGCTGCTCAACAGGGAATGTGTCCAGTGCCCGCAAAAGGAACAGCACTCATACATGGGCAGACAGGCACCTCCAAGTATGAGAAAAATCATGCCCACAGGTGTGGCAGCTAAGAGGCACACTCATGTTAATCAGTTAAGCATACCTCTGCACACTGGGCACCTGGCTCAGGCTAAAGTGAACCAGCTGAGTATGGTTTCCAGGACACTAGAGCTGACATACTTCAGCTCACAATTAAAAATGCTAGGCCTGATTTGTTACTCTGTTTTATTGCTACAACACTTGTGTAAATCCTCGATTAAAGCCGGTGTCCATGCAAGTGCACCCATTTAATTTTCTACCAGCTCTACTGCAAGAAGCACATGCATCACCTCCAGCTCAAGGTTGCGGAACTCCAGCAGCTCGTTCTGGTCTCGCGCATCCTGCAGCTCCTGTTGCAGACGGTTGTTTTCTGCTTCCGTTTTCTCTATCTAACAGAAATATGTAAAATCATGACCTGTGTGACTGTTACAAGAACCATAAAGTATTTGGTGAGTAGTAGTTGAGGTAGCATAGCCTGTGCAAAATCTAAACACTTAAGATGTCTCACAGGATCCAGATAACCCTTCAGAGTGAACATGCAAACCTTTGGAACATACCTTGTCTAAAAGCTCTTGGTTCCTCTTAATAAAAAGCTGCTTGTCTTCCACCCAGTGTGAGTCCTGTTGAATGAAGTAGTAGTATTACAGAATAGTCAAATTCCATAAGCTGTGCACATTTATTGAACATTGGAGCCACAATATTCAAGCTTTAACATCCTACAGGAACAAGCTGTCTTTTACAGAACAACAACATTTTAAGTTTACCAAGGTGTAGCAAGGCTTCTGAACTTGCCAGATCTGCATGTTTACTGACTGGCAACATTACATCTCATGGAAGTTTATACTAAAGTTGTGCTTGGTATTTTGTAAGCAGAGCGGGTAAGATACAGAATAGGGGAAAAAACACACAAGAATTACTTACCTGCCCTTTCTGAGCCAAAGTTTTCTCCAGATCTTCTATTTTGGCTTTATACCTCTGGACTTCAGCTTGAAGTTGCTCCTGAGCCTTTTGAAGTCAAGCACCACATTAATGAGTAACAAAACCAGCAACGTGATTGGTATAAAAAGGAAACCAAAACCAGCAGAGCCTAGCTTCATGCTGTCAGTTCCACTGAGTGAGCAACCATTAGAAAGATTCTGACTTGGTGAAGTTTTGTGCCACCCCTTAGACTGACACACAGATGACACAAGAGAACAGAGCAGTGGATCAGCCCCAACTCCCCACCCAAGCCTGTTCCACCATGGATTGCATCGGAGCAGCAAAACACAAGCTCAGGTATTTGGGGTGCTCTGCTCCAAGACCCTCATAAGGGGCAATCCCTAAATTACAAAAAAAGTGCTTAGCAGATCAGAGTGGCAACAGGTAGTGGGAAGAGGCAAATTTAACTGCCAGAGGGTTCTTCAAGAGCTGACTCAACTAAATACTAAAAAAACTGGTATGATCTCACAGCTAACTGCTTTGAGCAAGAATTTGGGCTAGAGACCGCCTGAGGTTCCTTCCAGCCTGAATGATTCTATAATTTTATTAGAGGGACAACATTTTTAGCCTTGGAAGTTTTACTGTAGCCTGCATCATATTAAAATTTAAATGTAATTTGCACTTATCTGTTAGAAACATTCAGGTGTTCCTAAAGTTGGTGCAATGTGCGCCTTTGTGAAAACCCACAGGTCTTCATTTGCCTTTAAAACCCAACTCCCATCACAGCTAGACAAATGATGAGAAAACCCTTGTGATTCTGTGTCAGGCTGCAGAGTTGTCTGCTTTGGCATGCCTGCCTGACTGCAGTTTTCAGGTTCAGGTGGAGGATAGCTTCCTGTAAACTGAGTGATTGTGTCCATTCTTAATGGTCACTCTCTTTCAAAATGTACTCAGTAAATGAGTGAACAGACATTTCTCAGTGTTATGGATGCTGTATGTAGCACCATTCCATTGTATGTCCTTTGAGGGTTTCTTGTCCTGACAGCAATGAAATACTGTAACTCTCAAACAAATACTGACCCTGGCTTCTCTTTCAGCATCTATGACCCCTCCTGTCTGCTCCTGCAGCAGTGCATACGCTCTCTGCAGGGCCTGGTACTCCTTCGTCAGCTGTCGAAACCGCAGCTCTGACTCTTCTGCTGCTAAACCCTGAAGAATAAGAAGGGACATGTCTAAGCCATGGAGAGCAAAGCACTGTCAAAGCAAAGAATGCAAAAGTGATTTGTTAAGCGCAGTAGCTGCTTTACAGGTCTTGATTTGAATAGTGTTCTGGATCACAGTGAGCTTGCTGTGATCTGAAATTAAAAAATGGGAAGATTATACAGCATTTATATCACAGTATCAGCTGAGTTGGAAGGGACCTACGAGAATCATTGAGTTCAACTCCTCGCCCTGCAAAGCACCATCGCCAAGAGTCACTGAGAGAGTTGTCTAAACACTTCTTGAACTCTGTCAAGCTTGGTGCTGTGACCCCTTCCCTGGGGTCATTCCAATGCCCAGTCATGCTTTGGGTGAAGAACCTTTTTCTAATATCCAACCTAAACCTCCTCTGACACAACTTCAGGCCATTCCCTCAGGCCCTGTCACTGGTCACCAAAGAGAAGACATCAGTGTCTGTCCCTCCTCCTCCCCTCATGAGGAAGCTGGAGACTGCAATGAGGTCTTCCCTTAGTCTCTTCTCCAGGCTGAATAGACCAGGTGACCTCACTTGCTCCTCATACAGCTTCCCCCCAAAGCCCTTCACCATCCTTGTTGCTCTCCTTTGAACACTCTCTAGCAATTTAATATTTTTCTTATATTAGGGCACCCAAAACTGCACACAATAGTCAAGGTGAGACCACCACAGAGCAGAGCAGAACAACAGGACAATCCCCTCCCTTGACTGACTGGCAATGCTGGGCCTGATGCCCCCAGGACTTGGGTGGGCCCCCTGGCTGCCAGGCCACTGCTGACTCATATTCAACTTTCTGTCAGCCCCTGGGTCTCTTTCAAGGCACTGCTTTCCAGCATCTCATTCTCCAGTCCATCTGCAGATCCAGGGTTACCCCATCCCAGGTGCAGAATTTGGCACTTTCCCTTGCTGAACTTCATCTGGTTGGTGATGGCCCAGCCCTCTTGATTCATCGAGGTCTCTCTGCAGGGCCTCCCAGCCTTTGATGGAGTCAACAGCTTCTCCCTATTTTGTATCATCGCAGAACTTGCTCAATATCCCTTCCAGGCCTGTGTCCAAGTAATTTATGATGAAACTGGAGAGCACAGGGCTTAAGATGGAGCCCTGCAAAACCCCACTAGTGACAGGTCACCAGTATGATGTCATCCCATTCACTATAACTCGTTGATATGTCTTTAAGCTACAAGAAATGTGATACGTTTCCTTGAAAGAGGAGAGGGAAAAAAAACCACCTCAAATTGCAGGGTAGTCATATCAAAGACTCTACAGACTATACTGTGGAAGAAACTCTCAGCATTTTAGTATATGAGTAATCAAAATTAAAGTCAAACTTAAAAAGTATTTATCACTCAGTATGCACTATAAAATCCCAAGTGTTCTTGAGAGCCTGAGAGCTTGTTTTCAAAGTCATCTCTTGAAAACCTGTAACTTGTCTGTGGAAAGAGTCAGATCTTACCTCATCCAGATCATCATCTGGGGTTGCTGGTGTCCTGTCTGTTCTATATGACGCCACAGAGGATGTTTCAGAGTCCATAGAATCATCATCATACCCAAAAACCGTATCCACCACATGTCTCTATAGAAGGAAAAGTGTGATTTCTGAACCTTCATGTAAACAGAGGGGGCAGTTGCTAGTTACTTAAAAGATGAGGTGTGAAAAGTGAACAGTGGGCTACCCCTGCAATTACCATCTTCACACAAACTCAAAGGAAACCCATTGAAGATCAGGTCTTGTGCTGGTGGAGAATAAGTTTGCAGACTAATTTTTCTAAGGGTCTGTCTCAGTCTATTAGGAAAATCTAATGCGAGCAGCAACATGCCAGAGGAAAAGTCTCTGCCCTTGCTGGAAGGCAGGAAAATTGTTTGCAAACCAAGAAGTTCTTCAGAAGACATCTATCAACATGCAAAGCGTAGTGTAGTGTGCAAAGGTTACACCACAAGGGCTAGAAACACGTGTAGAATAGGCAGCCCTCCTTCTTCTCTCACAGACACTGCTGATACTTTTAATGTCCAGGTGCTTCTCTTGCTGATATTGCTGTTGGATCATATGAGTGAAAGCTATGCTAATACAAAACTAACATGAAGGAACTTTTATTGCATCTTGCCAGGACTACAGTAACTGGCATCCATTATAAACAACTGCTCATGCTCCACAGTTTGGCTGTATGTCTGACACCTCCCTATTGCCAATTTCGTAGCTGAATTAAATCAAATGAAAACTGTGAGAGTCCTGTGAAGACACAGATGCTTGACCCTGAAGGCTTGGTTTCAGGGTACCAATTCGAGCATTTAAATACTCGGCTCATGGACAATTCTGAAGACAAATTGATCAATGAGCAATTAAGATGCACGTCTTCTTAGCAACATCTTTCACTCTGCTGACAGGTTAAAACCTTCCAAACCTGGAGTTTGAATCATACAAAAAACATGTACCGAAGATGTCAATTAGCTTTTGCATGTATTATAATTTTTGCTCATTGTGTTGTCAAGTGAAAACAGTTGCCATATTCTCCAATGTTATAATCTCTGGTTTAGAAATAAAATTTACTGATGAAAATACTCTCTGGTCCTTGCTGTGTCTGCTGTACACCACTTCGCAACCTACACAGAAACAATGTGATGACACAGCTAGGATTTACTGATCTGAAATTCCCAGTGTAGATAATGCTGTGTGACTTTCAAAGAACATGGGTGACATACTAAGGGATGTCCTTGGAGGACTGAATGCAACCAAGGAACCCATATTTCCACTTTTTGGAGGTGGGACATGAATGCTGCAGAGTCATGCTTCACATCTAGCTGATAAAGGAGCTATGAGAACCACTCCTGACTACTCAGCTCTAAAATTGTTGTAAATTATACCAGCTTTGGACTTAATATAATTCAGAGTGATACAAAGGTTAGTCAAAGGCATGTAGAACTGAGCAGAAGAGAATGACACAGTATCTCAGGCAGAAATTTCCACCTGAAGAATAGAGATGCACAAGGATTTGGCTTTAGCCCATATGTGCTGTGAAAAATAGACTGCAAGAAAAAAATGAGAAGGTCTCTGATAATGCTAGTACCTCTCAGCATAACAGACCCTGAGACTATACTTTTAGATACCAAATGGAAGGACCATTATTACTACTGAGTGGGGGGGGCGGGCGTGGGAAGGACAATGGATGGGACAGGAGCCCCATTTTGCTGAAAAGAAAATAGCTGCACGCCCTTAACAGAATTTCAAAGTGGATTTTAAAAGCCCTCTCAAAGTAACTAAGGAATTTATAAACCTGCTCACTAAAGCAGATGTTATAATCCACAAAGCTCTGTTTAATCAGATTGCTAAAGTGTGTTTTCCTACACAGCCTACTTGAATACTGTAAATAAGAAACAATTTTTCATCTTACCTTGATTGGTTTTGAGCTCCTTTTATGCTTTCTCCGACGAATGAGTTTCTCCCTGTCCTAGAAAGTAAGATTAAAAAGTTACTCTCTCTTCTCTTCTTTAAAGCTGACAGATGGCCAAATACATGGAGGAAATAAATAATAAAAGTTCCAGTGACTCTGTCAATATGTTCAAACAGGAATCTGATTCCAGGTAGAAGGGAGGATTCATATCCAAATCTGTATGTGTGTCACCTAAAATCCACCTGAAAAACACCTTTGTGCATTTGCCTTGCGCAGCTGTCAAACAACAGGAGCTCAGGGACTGCCCTCTAAAATCACTGGGACGCCTGGTGCATGGTTTTGGGCACTGTGTAAGGGGCTGTCTGCCGTCCCTGATGAGGAGATGCTGCCCCTGTCTCAAAGGCATTAAATGATGGGAGTGTCAATCTCACCATTCCTAGCAATGATACCTCAGAAGAGACAACAGCCTGTTTTGGAATCCTTCTCCTTCTCCTCAGTATCATAATGCAAAGTTCACTGACAAAGGAACTGTCAGCATTAAATGACAGAAGAATTGGAAACCTACTGTCTAGCTGTACAAGCTTTTCCAGCACATGATACAGCACTGTGGGCCGGCCTCCTGTTAAGGGAACTTTTTAAGCATGACTTAGTTATAATGGTAAAACACCTCAGCACAGTCCTGCCTTGTGAACATGTAGGTACCTACCCAAGCTCCACAGCTCTTAGTCTGCATTCCTTTCTGGAGCTCAATTCACAGTGTTATGGTTTGAGTTGTAGGGGCTGATGCTCCACTACAAATTCAGTAAACTGCACACATGCACACCTACACCTAAACATCTGAGGATGTTAAAAGCAGGTAAGGTATTAATGCTCAGACCCCTAGTTATAAGAAAAAATACTATCAGCAATAAACTGTACACAGCAATCATTCCTAATTTCCTTGTGCTCTGGACATACCCTTGTTAACTCATCAATTATGTTCTGCTGTTCTATGACCTGAAGCTTTAAAAATTCAGTTTCTTGTTCCTCATTAGCCTGATCCAGGTCATTGAGAGATCTTAATTTCTTTAGAGGAGGATGTGATGTTATTTTTTCTCTCTGTGGTAAGAAGAAAAGATAAAAGAGATAAAATAAGATCCAGTAATTAAAAGACCACCTTTCAGTTAAAAACTAAACATCACCTTTCATTTAAGCTATACAGACCTTTAAATATGCTTCAGCTACACCAATTTTTTTTATTCATGTCCATCAGCACTTCTTAACAATAAAATAACACAGCACGGCTGAGTTCTTCAACCAGAACAATAAAGCTTTAGCTGTTTAGTTACCATGTGGCAATACAGCCTCTACATACCCTAGCTCTTCCTTGGCCACGTGTGGCAAATAGAGTTGAACCTGTCCCCTGTCCAGTGGGTAGGCAGATAGTATCTACTCTCACGACCTTACTGACATTCAATGTAGGACCGTACACAGTGAGGCAATGGACCTGCTTTACTCATGTTAAAGACATGCATTCAGTCACACCAGGAGGAAAGGCAAAAACTGTGATAACAGATCTATTTTAATCACAGCTCAACATCCTGCCTGCTCCTGAGCATATGTGGGAAAGGAGATGACTAAAACCTGTGAGAATTGCTCCAGCCACCAACAGCTTTTGTGATTTGGGCATCCATAGTGTGAAGAGCAGATGTCAGGGAGCTAACTGGGCACACATACACTGTGTCCACAGATATGCACCAGTGGTACTGCCCAATGATGCCTAATGCATGCAGATTCCCGAGTCCTTTCTCTCTGCTGTGGGAGACTCCAAGCGACTGTGATCTGCACTGCCACAGCTGTGGAAGAATAATTCTGATCCATGATACCTGCAATAAGTTTATCTGTCTTCTAGGCACGGGTAAATTGCAGAGTCCTTAAGTGGATTAACTGTATAACACTAGAGTCTGTTTTCCGTGGGACAGGAAAGTGAATCTGATCAGCTCCATCTAATCAGCAGGAAAGCTGCTCCCATTGCAGGGCACTTAGCCTGCTCAGGACAGTGGCTACTACAGGTCAGGGCAAGGTCCATGAACACCTTCAGCAAGGGAAGTCGTCTCAGTCTGCCAGCTTACATCTGGCAACCCAGAACATCCACCTCCTTTTTCATTAATGCCAAAGCCACATCAGTGCATGTGTTGGAATATAGGGCCTGGAAGCAGACTGATAATCGAGGCAATCCCATCTGAAGGATATACAAACACAACTGTTTTGACCCCACTTCATATGGCCCTGACATAGGAAATGTATAGCCCGAACTAAATTTAAACACCACCATTCTTCCTTTCCCATATCCACCTACCACACATATGTTTTATGGAAAGATTCTATGTGCTTAGTGCCATACCTTAAGTTTACTTTGTCATCATCAGCTCTAAAAGGAACGTGTACGTGACGCAAGAACGTCATTCTGGCTGGAAACATCACTCTTAACAGCTTCCTTTTTGAGTTCCAGATAAAAAATAGCACAGTAGGACATGCCTCAATGATATAACATTTTCCTCTTTTGTTTTTTTTAAATGATTGACATTCAATATTCTAACTTTAAAAATATAATTAACTGTGATTATACATTCATGTAAATATATTGCCCATGTATGCATAATACACAATGTTATGGTATGCAAATCTGTAATAATACAGACCAAAACAAGGCTCTATCTTAACAATAGTATTACACATTATATATAATGCATATTCTCTATTCATATACATCATGCATTATGCAGATGTGGCCACCAACACACAGATCCTCCAGTAATACTCATTTTGCTCTTCAGTACCAACCATTTCTATATTTTCTTTAGTGACTGCTTTGAGTTTATCTTCCATGCGCTGCAAAGACTGCATAAGTTCATCATTTCTCTTCGTGAGGCACTTGTTCTTTTCCAGAAGAGGTTTACATTGTTTCTCAGCTTCTCGAACACGCTTCAACTGGATTGATAATAGCAATTAATAATTGTCATGAGAGACACATAAATATACGTTTAATTTGCAATCTTGACGTCTATTTTGCAATTATGACATAAAGAACATTGAAGCTGGCTAAACTGATATGAAAGGAGTGCATTAAGACTTCTAGCTCAGGAATAAAAAAAACCATAGGAGTTCAATTTATCACACTCATCCTTAAGCAGAGAAGTAGGAATATACACAGGTTAAATAGCCAGGGTCCTGATTCAACACACAGATATCACCACAGAGTAGGCAATCAGATAAAGGGATCAATTCAAAGTTGCCAATTCTTCCTAGACTCAGTACTTCATTATTTTCAACCTGGTCAAATACTGGACTACACACCTAACAGACATTATTTCATTTACAAGGTAAGTCTCATCGTGTACAAGGTAAGTTACCAAGCACATGTTGTGTGCTCAGAGGGAACAGAAGCATTCACACAGAATCCTACAAGCCTTGCTGCCTCAACCTCTGCTGTGATTTTGTACTCACGTAATTTCAATTACGTTTTATTGTTACATTACTGTTTTATTCTAGGATAAGAAGTCCTCCTCAGCCTCCTGAGTGACGGGCCTGATGGATGGACAAGGCATGTTCATCACCAGCTTTATCCTTGGATCCTCCCCCTCTTTCCCTTCTCCATGGCTCTCAACCTCCTCTGTCTGCCAGCGCAAAAGCTCACATACCAGCTCATTTCGTTCATCAACAAGCAACGTGTTCCGGTCTTCCAGCTTCCGTATGGTGGCATTCAGCTCTGCTATCCTCTTCTGGTTTCTGCGCAAGTCCTGTGCATGGGCAACAATGTCACACAGCTACTGATTCTCTTCAAAATACATGCTTGGGAAAAGAGCCCTTAAAAAAACCAGTCAACCTAAGCTGTCATCATCAACAAATTATCTTTAGGGACTTTCACACTCCTGAATATGTTGGCAAATATATATATATATATTTAGGAGAAAGCATCTGGTTTGGGGATACTTTAATTGAAAATTTTAAGCCATTAAAAAAATTAAGAGAAAACAACCAAACAGATGATAAATTTGTATGACAGAGATAAAAAAGCTAAAAGATTCTAAATTTCCTTCCCTTTTCCTATAGATTGCTTCTATTAGCTGAGCCACTACCTCAGGTGAAAAAGCTAGGACAACCCTTTCTGTATCAATTACATTCACTTTCTTAGTTCTCATTTGTATATATGAAAATATGCTTTTAAATATGCATTGGTTGTGTAAACATCTTCTGTTTAGTCACACAACGGGTGACTTGTGTGCTTTGTGAATGACACCCAAGGGCCGTCTGTGGGAAGCAGACAAAGAGGAGGATCTCCTAAGGGTCTCACAGATTCTCCATGCCCAGTGTTTTCCTTGCCCCTCCCTGCTCATCCTGGTAATTCTATCTGGTTTTGAGGATGCATGTTCTAGATAGTTAGGTTCATCGATGATTCTTTCAAAAGGGCACTGATTATTTAGGATGTGTTATATTTGTGACTAGAACAACTGATGAAAACCAGCAGTACAAAGTTTTGTCCAACTAGCATGCCCTCTGAAGGCTCTATGGACATTAACTTGTCCGTAATGAATGACTGGGAATGTTTTCCTAGGGCCTGAGAAGGTATGTCACAAAGAAACACACAGCCACGCTACTGTTTTGCAGAGACCAGTAAAACCTGCATACAGGGCTGCTGCAGTGCTCCGAACCATCTCCAGCCCTTCCTGGGATCTCTCTCTTCGGACTGCTCATGTTACACTCTGCCTCCTTCACCAAAAAGAGTTGTTCATCCAGAGCTTCCTTTTGCAGCTGCAGCTTCTGCACATAGCCTGTCTGTGTCTCCAGTTCTTTCTCCAATGAAAATATGATCCTGTCTTTAGCCTTGATCTCATCCATCTGAATGAAAGAAACACCAGAACAGTATTACCATGTGAAGGCAACAACAACATTTCTCCAATTTGTATTGTGCGATTTACTTAAGAGCAGTGATCACCCCTCAAATCTGCTCTACCATACTGCACCAGGCCTGTAAAACAACACAGTCTGAGCCATACCCATAATTTGGCACAGGAGCACATTCATTGAGCATTTTGGCAACACAAGAATATACCTCTAGGATGTAGACTGTGAATCTGGGGAGGGGGGGAAGGTGGTGGTATCATTCTTGAGAATTTAAATTCCCATTTATTTTACTTAAATTCTAAATTCTTGAATTCCAACTTTCAAGCTCAACTTTCTACCATTACAAGTAGGACCAGCTCTCCACATGACAGTGTGTCCTGGTTCTGGCCAGGACAAGGTTAATTTTTGCAATAGCCAGAGGTTATTCAATATCATCTCATGTCATTTTCTGGGGATGGGGGAAGGACTCCCTTCTGGGTGAGGGTAGCATGGCTGTGGTCAGGCCACAGGCTCCACGGTGACCATTTTGCACCTAAGTCACTCTCCTCTCTCATGTACATATTTCATTGCTGTTTCCAGTCAAGTGCTCTTACTTCAATTCATGATCTCATCTTTACCTTTTGTGCCTCCGATTCCCCTCTCTAGCCCACTGCAGGGAATGGGGAGTGAGCAAGTGTCAGTATGGTTTGGAAAGTCAAAGTGGGAGCACAAATTGGGAAGTTTCTAAACCATGACACAGGGAAACAATTCACCTTTGCTGGTGTGAGCTTCCTTTTGTTAATTTTCCACAGAAATTACTGAAGGCTGCACCAAGGCCAACCCAAAAGATTTCTCCTCTCCTGCCATGTTTCATTGTGTTTAGGACACTATAACACAGGCTGGAAAAACCAAAAAGCTGCAAGTGCAGATGCAAATGCTCTTTATCTAACCCTTTGCACCTTGCATGTATTAACAAATCAGAGAGCCAGATCCTCATGGATTAGACCACACTCCTAATCTGAGCTGTTAACTGCCATAACAGTGTTATTGCTGACTCACTGTGATCTATTTATTCCTGACAAATGACAGTGCAAAATCTGTAAAACTTTTTCAAAGTGAGTTGCATTGCAAGAGATCTGTTACGCAGAAAGAGCTGAGACAAAAAATGCAAACTCAGTGCGGCCTAAGAGAACACATGAACTGTTCTGATTACTAACCAGGCGTCGAATATCCCTTTCACTCTCCCATTTGATCTTGGAAATGGCCTCTTGGTGGGACTGATGCTCACTCCGAAGATCGCCTGCCTTGATCTTGTCAGCCTGGATCATATTGTTAAGGGCCTCATCCACCTGCTTTTTGGCAGACTTCAGTTCAGTAATTTCCTGCAGAAGCTTAAGGCGCTCAGAGTCAAACTGTTTCCTGGCCTCCTCACGAGCCTCAATGGTCAGCGCAGTCCGTACTTTATCACTGCTCCCGTCCCGCAGCGCGCACAGCGCCGACTTCAGGCGCTGGATTTCACTGTCTCGGACTTTCACCATTCTCGTCATCTCCTGCTCGTGCTGTTTGATGAGGTTCTCCCTCACCGCCTGCAGCTCCTTCATTTTCTCTTCATGGAGTTTGGCTTTTAGCTCTGTGATCTGCACGGTCTGCTTGCGTTGCTCCACTTCACGGATGCGCTTCGTTTCTTGAGTCTTTTCTCTTTCGAGCTTAGCAACCTACATTAAGATAAAATGAAAGTCATCTGCTGCCAATGTAACATTATCAAAACAAGCCCCCCCAGACACATCCATGTCAAATTGAGAAAAAACCCCACTGAGACCCTAGACAATCCTCCATACTCCTAAAACAAAATATAGGCCAGCTCCTGAGGTATTCACATAGATTATATTGTCTTTACTCAAACAAAAACCTCTCTCTTCTCCAGGTGTCTTGCCTCACACAATGATGCTACATGTAGTTTTAATATTTCCTTCAGAAATAAGACTCCATATATATGTGTGCATTTGTGTAAAAGCTTTTTAACCCAGAAGTCAAATTCACCAGATAATTGGAGGGCTCAGAAAAAGCAAAATTCCTACAACTTTCACATACTGCTCCATTTGAGGGCCAGAGGTTTCTCCAACTCGTAGCTCAGTAAAATGGAGTCTTTTCCAGAGAAGTCACAGGACATCCATAGTAAATGTTCTAAGTTGGTAAAGAATCACACCACTTTTTTTAGGAAAGAGTTGTGTGGCCTCTGCTGAAGTCTGTGCTACTATTTTTTCCACGTGTTTGCCTTCTTCAGCAAACACTTTTATTTAAAACTGAACTGTCACTCACCTTAGATTTCTCCTGATGCAGCTCAATTTGAATGTCTGTTAGCTTGGTCCTGAGGTCCTCATTGGCAGCCTGTAGGGCAACAATCAGTGCCTCAGGCTTTTCGCCCTTGCTCCGTCCTTTTTTTGACATGGTTTTTTATCAGAGAGTCCACACGTTTATTTCAAATATGGATTGCCATCTTCTTCTGTTCCTTTCAGTGTCAGTTAGGTCAGCAACTACTGCGTGACATTCCTTAAGGTCCTTGACTCAGCTGCTTTGGAAGCCCTGTTAAGAAATAAGACATACTATTATCTGTCAGCGGATGCTGCATCGGGACAGCTCACATTCTTACAGAACACAACAGAGAGCTCCCATATCCAAAACACTGCAATCTTTGCCTGGAAACCTACAAGGCAGATCCCAGCACAGTCATGCTTCTGAACACCAGCCTGCCACACTTTTGGGAATTCCATGCCTGCCCTTTTCTATTCTCAGAAAGGGGCACCATGCATTGAAGAGAGGTGTTCACTTACCATAAAGATTGTGCTACTGAGAGCACGAGACTGGAAGGGACGGGTTATTTACTCCAATCCTTGCAGTCTGAGGTAACCACAAACCAGATGCTTTAATCTCAAGAATCTACCAACAATATCATTCTCTTCCCCTTCCCAACCCCTGATCCTGTTCAACATCCTGTGCCAAACTCAAAGACTCTCCACAACACTGCTACTATCTGTCACAAGAGGAATAGGCAAGTGAAGTCCTCAATCAGCATTCCAGGTCTCTGTGGAAGCAGAAATCTAATAACATGCAAGGGCCTGTTTACACTAGAAATTGTCCCCATGGAGTGAGAAATGAATGCCTATGCCTTTTGGAAGATTAAGATCCTAATTTACAAATGAAGCAAGAAATGACAATATCACACTGTAGTCTAGCAATTGAGGTTTTAACATCTGGTTATGAACAGTAAAAAATAAAATTCTGGACAAACATCATCATTATCCCTGTATTCATTTTAATTTTATAGCGTTATTATTCCCATTTCTGGCCCCTAGCTGAAATAACGTTTGGAGATGTGGTATATCAGTTTGGAGATGGGCAAAGCGCTGAAACATTAAGACTGCAAAGAATGGGACAGAGCACAGTGTAGTAATGGTAGTGATGAAATTTCCCAGCAATAATAATTATTGCTCCAGTGCTAGATTCCAGGCAAGCTTTCCTCCCTTATTGTCAGGTTGCACATTAATTTTTTATATTTTATTTGCTTTGGGTACAAAACATAAATAGAATTATCATTTCCCATGTTAAAACAGAAGAGACCTCCAAATATGAAAGACTGTTTAACTCAACAAAAACTTGCACATATCAGTTATAATTTTCTGCTTTCTGAGGGCAAGAGCAGATAGAAACCCTAACTCATACATGTGCTCCTCCCAACATCTTGCTCTCAGACACTTGGTTCTGCTCAAAGAGTGGCTCCACTGTGAAGAGAATTTACCTATGTGAACAAGCAAAACCTCCAATCTAAACTTGTTTTTCTCTGAGCCCAGAGCCAGCATTTCAGCTCTTGCCAAGACAACAATTAACATGCTAATCTGGAAACCCACTGATCCAACTCTCCATCAGAAAAAGGGAGCTGTGATTCAGGTTAGGGGATGCTCCAAATCACAACCGCTGATCAAAGCACCCTGGCTCTAGATCCCAATCCTCACTCTAGAACCAGAACTTCAGAATGTGGCAAGCATGATGAGAGTATTATGAGAAGCTTTTTCATCCTTGGCAAATTCTCACGACCTTTCTGAGCTTCACCATCTCTGCCAACAATCTGCAACAATTCTGAGAGAGGCATTTTCTATTCCCGCAGAATGGTGAAAATCCCTTGGAACTAGAGGAGCAGTTAAAATGCTTACCTGCTGGAAATTCCAGTAGCCAGACTGGATTCACGCTTGTTGATTGATCTGGCCTTAGGCAATACTCTAAGGAAATAGTATTTCAACATAAGCTAAATCCCATTACTGCAACAATGGGAATGCACAACTCCCTGTGCCTCCAAAATCTGTCTCATTTGCCTAGTGGGATTTGAATGAATCCTAAATTAAGTCTTTGCTTTGGATTTTATTTACCAGGTTTCATCTACGTTTTGCATTTTTTCGGAATAAAATTCAACCCCTAATTATTGCATATTATTCTGTGTGTGTTACGACACATAACAAAATACATAATAAATGAAAACTGTGATTAAAAGCATGAGTTACATTATTTTCATATTTTATCATAATTCAACATGTCAACATCAACCCAAAAACTCAGCTCAGACTTGACAAACAGCTCTTCAGGACAAATCCTAACCACCTTCTGATTTTGACTGCACAAAAATCACTGTATTTTAGTTAGATTTCTAATCAATACCATAATAATTTTCAGGAATATTAAAATACCTCTGAACTGAGCTCACAATATCCCTTGGATATGAGGCTCTACACAAGGAATACGCGATGAATCTGGTGCTGCTAGGCTGCTCATGCTAAAATTACCATTGCCCCTTGCTCTAAAACATGAACCAAAAAAGCCCTATCCAAGCTGATGACTCCATGGAAACAGTAAAAAGGGTACAGAAGCATTATTGTTACCCGCAGCAAAGCTAAGCAGATTTGTTAAAACAATATTCTAGTATTTTGTGGCTAAAATACCATCTGTCTCTTTCTCACAGTTATTTTCCTAGAAGTTGGCATAACACAATGCACACAGAGAACACTAACAGTGATGAAGAAAATCCTGCCCTATCCTAAAAGCAAGTGGACATTTTTCAGAATGCACTTTTCGGCATAAGATGCAAATGCATACTGACTGGAGGCTCTACTTAAGAATGGCAGGATTGTCAGAACAAGGACAAGCTCTAACAACCTGCTCCGTTCACTACAAGATGGGGGCCTAACAAAACATTTTGGTGGTTTTGTACTTTGCGCATTATTTTATGCAAGTGGATCACATTCAACCAACAGACAACATGCACCACCTAGAAGAGAAACACTGCAATTCATGGAGTTAATTGTATCAGCCTCTCCTTGATTCGATTTTAACAACCCAACAAAACCCTGTTTTATTTAATTGAAATGCATATAAACAAGAAAACAACAGAGGGAAAGCCCATGCCCCAGATCCTTCTCCTGAAATCCCTTCCTTTTCCTTCTAAAGCTATATGAATGATCACGTCTTGGCTTACAGACACCAGAGGAAGGTATCTTACATTCACTACTAAAAATTGTCAGATATTTAAGTAATTTCTCTACTTAAAGGAATAAGGTTAATTTTGGAAGTTTTTGCCATTTTTACCTCAGGTCTTGATACAGCCGATAAACACAGACATTGGTTTCGCATCAGATTTTTAAAAAAATCTGTACTCTGGCCTCCCACATTCACTTTTAACAATACAATGATCTCTACAATGAACTGTCTTCTTTGTTTGAATACCTTACTTCCAACTAGATTACTACCTTCTTGCAGTTTCTTATCAACTTGCAGTTCAATATAGCTTAAAAAATGTATTTTCTTCTCCCACTCTATTGCTCTCAATGCCTTAAAGAACCTCACGTACACATTGCTCTAATTTCATGTGTCCTGTATCCCTCTTGCCTTTTTCTTCCACTTTCTGTGAAAAGAGTACGGATGTTCCCATTACCAGGGAAGTTCAGCAAAATCAAAACTAGCAGTTTATCTCTTCACATTAACTTTCTAGCAGAAATCTAAACACATCTTCTAATTAGTCATTTCTATACATCTTTTAGACTCAAAATACCTCTAAAAATAAAAACATTACAAGCAATATTTTTTTCTCATTTGCAAATTGTTGTGAATCTTACCCTTCTATCATATGAGGAAAGATATGTTCCTTTGTCATCCCTACAGGCTGTGAACTCTTTAAGAATGGTCTGAAAGAACAGAAATCTTTTCCACCAGTGTCACAGCTCAGCTGACAAAAAAGTACCCGTCATGCTTTGCCTGTTTCCCAACAAAACAATCCAAATTAAAACATACCATGTAGTACCATACATGCTGACTTAGGTAGCTCTGCTCATAACGGGACGAACAGAACTTGAAAAATAAACAACTAGAATAAAGTGAAACTCATGTTAAATGTAGAATTTATCCTTAAACTTTTCTATTTAAAAAGTACCCCTGAAAATTTACAGGATGATATTTAGCTGCTTTATAAATGAAAGCACCAGCTTCCATTTGTATTATGATGACCAGGGCAGCAGCACTCTCCTCCCATATAAGTAGGTGATGAACAGATTTCTCAGCTGGAAAAGGCGTAAGCATGAAACACCACCCACTAGATCCAGCTGAGGTGCTGGTCACTAGATCCAGCTGAGATGCATGATGTGACAAAGCACAAAAAAAATTAAGACATTTCAATTATAAGGCATTCAGGAGAACGTGCAGTTTCTCATTAAGGCTGAAACCAGAAAAATATTCCATAGTAATTTCAGAGTGATCTGAATGAGCATTAAGCTATTGTATATAATTTCAAATAAATTTCCAAGGACAATGCTGAAATCCTCATTGAGTTCACCTAACATAGGCTATCATGCTGGTCGCAGACACCCACCGCATATTCCAAGGAAACAGCAACATGTAGGTCACGCTGCAGCCCACAAAAACCCGTGACATAATGCAGAAGGGACCTGCAAGCAGCCTTGCTGGACACAGCTGGGGCAGGGATCCAACCACAGCAAAGGCACAGATGTTTGTCAGCTCTCCAGTGTGCCTCTGAAACAGGTACTGGACACACACAAAACTTACAGCTTTATTCCTGAAAGCGCTTCCTAATTAATTACGGAGTCTTTCCTTAAGTTATAAGCTACCAAACAGTAACCAGCACAATTATTCTTTCAGATGTAAATAATCCAATCTTTTTCCAGTGCAACAGTCCCCACATACTCTTTGTTTGCCTAAGACTTATTGTAACTGAGCACAATTTCCTGTCAGAGAGGGGACATGAAAAGGCGATAATATTAAGGGCTATATTAAATAAGGCAGATTCTCAAAAAAATTACTGCATCTCATTTTGTTCCTCACCAATGCACAGAGATGGAATAGAGCATCTGACAGAACCCTAAATATTAAGTACAAATAAATACAGGGAAGAAAAAACCCAAGGACTTACCTACAAATTACAGAACATAAAACAAAAATCACATTCATGTTCATGAAAATCTAAGTGCATGTTATGTATTAACATCATTATAAGTCTTTTCATAATTTTTGTACACCAAGTCTACCCCCAAATACATGCCAAACAGTACAGTATTGATTCTCATTCATTTCTATCACGTGTAATATTTAGAGCTCTTAGTATTTTGCTTACATTATAGAAATGAAAAATTAAAAGTATTTCTGCACCCACTAAAAAAATCAGCTTAGTGAATATTAGCAAATCAGTGCACATACACGGGAAAAAAAATCCAGAAGCCCTGACTCCACCATTTCTCACAATTTTATATGCTCACTCATTACTGTTACCCTAAACCACCTGGTACCTCAATGCGATTTTCAACAACTGTTTTTTCTTCTTTTCAGTTTTAATTTCCATGTTATTGAGGCTCTTTGTTTACAATCCATGCAATGTAAGGTTTAACAGGTCTTTCCCTTAAGCACTTTAAGGAGTACTGTAATATGCAATTTCAAAAAATAAACTTATAGCTTGAGAATGGAGTATGGGATGAAGATATTACCTTCTGGATAGAGATGGAAGAAATGCACAAAATAAAAATGTGAGCCAACATGCATTTTAGCATCAGCTGCCCTCAATTAATTCAAATAATTAATTATTTTTTTAAAATAATCTGAGATGCTGTTATACTTGGTATTATCATTTTTAACATAAAAGATCTGCCATACTAGACTAGCTCTTCTAGCCTAACCATTTTCTCAAGCACTGAGTCAAGTCAATTTTCTCAAGCAACCAGTCTGCTTTATTATTTATTTATTAGAGTACATTTAATCCAAAGTTAGAAAAAGAACTGTAGTCTATCTAATCTTCACTTACATTCCTTATTTGTTGGCATTTGTTAAATTTAACTAAGAAGGTTTCACTGCACAGCTGTGTACTAAAGTGTGTGCTGCACTTGTGTGCCTCTTGTGAAATGCCACTGTGTGGGTGGTGACACACATCAGTTCACTCTGCCTCTCTTGTGACCATGGCTCATGCACACTGTCCAACACAGGGAAATGTGATGTCCAAGTATGATCTTCCAGAGAAAGCAGGGATCCTAAAGTTTACAGGATGAGTGATGGTTTCTCAGCAACCCACAGTGATCCAAATGCATGGCAAGCAAACCATACAGCATCACCACTTCTAGCGAGAAGAACTGAAAGCCCATGTTCCTGAAAATACTCCATGTTTTATTTTTTCTTTCCAGTTCATTGGATGTTTCAGAGACCAAACTGCAGATTATGATCCACACTGCTGTGTCATTTCCAAAGAAGCTGTGTTTACACTCATTTGACCTGACAGTGTTCAGTGTGGCCACACCACAGAGCTTTCTCATGGTTCTTCTAGCATGCTGTTCAATTTTCTATTTAGAGCCCTACCTCCTGGAGCAAAGATTTCTAGTCCTCATATTTTAAAGGAGAAATTCAAACAGACTTTAAAGATACAATAACTAGAAGTACTACCAAAATTACATTTTTCTACCCTCATAGATTCTGGATTTTGAGAGCTGATGACAGAGAACTGTACAGATGCTTTGCACAGATCTATAAAGAGAAGGAAGCAGGAATCCATCTCTGAAGATGGGAAGATAAATTTGCTATAATCTGACAAAGACCCGACCTTGAAGGGATGTAGATTCATAGAGGAGCTTTGAAGATGTTACCTGCTTGGAGGCTATTGATTTCAAAACACATAATGCAAACATGTAATTATAAATTCAAGCAAATAATATTAATATATAATAATAGATATTAATATGTATTATTAATAAATAATATTTAAAATTTGGTTTTTAAACCAAGAACATTTGGTTTGCAGTCTTGTAGTACAAATATTGCACTGCCATGCACAAAGATTAAAGAGAAATCTGATGGATGTAGAAGATACAACATCACTGGAAAGTAATTCAAAATTCAGGCATCTGGCAAGGGTTATTTTGCTGCCTCACAACTTCACAAAGCCAATAGAAAGCAAAATATTTACCACTATTAAAAATTACCATGACTGAGTAGTGAAAGCATCTTCAGGCTCTCACAGTTTGGTTAAAAAGAAGAGAGGAAAACCCCAGAGGTTATAATTAACAAACTACTTGGATTTCAACTGCTCAAGCTACATCTCAGTTATAACAGCCTTAGAGCAGTGGAATCCATCCCCACACCTTTGTTATAGTTGGAGGACTATTTTTGTAACTTTCTAAAGCACAATATCAACTACTACATTAATTATTAGAGATCAACATTGAAAATTATTCTGGGCATCATTCTACAGTTACATTTCACAGCATTTTCCTGACTTGAATACCCTGAGGTCACTCATGCTTTGTAATGACAGAGAACTTATGCACCATCTTTCCAGCTACATTGAAGTCTTGAAAGTAAAAAGTCTACCAGAACCCAGCATATATTTACCAATTAAAATAGCCCAATCACCTCCTTAAAATACAACCATACATAACCATACATACAGAAGACCCACCTTATGTTCAATTCTTAATGTGCAGGATACCAAAGCTCTTACACAGAAGATTATTTAGCTGGGAATGGCCTCTGAAAGCAGAAGGATTATCAAAAGCCACTGAAAGGTGACAGTGGCAAGGTTCTCAGAAAGGAGGCAGAGTCAATGCATTAGCAGTATCACAGAGCTTGAACTTAGGCTTGGAGAGGACACTGGAAATACCTGGCTCAAAATCACGTCCAAGGTGAGAGCCATATTTCTCTATCTTAGGCACTACCAAAACAGTCAGTCAGAGAGCAGGAAGTCAGAAAGGCTGCAGTATGACACTGACAGTCTACTCCTTTCTGCTAGGAGTTCTGCTGACAAAGCAGGGAATCCCAGCAGACCACCAAACTGCCACAGTTCTGGGAAACAGACAAAGTCAAAGGAGCAATCCATCAACAGCTTCTGGGTAACTCCTATGGAAATCCCAGCAAAAACTTTCCAGCCTTTCCTCCCTGAGGCTTTTCCTTGGGATTTTGCTTCCTGTAGAAGCCAAGGTGGAACTGGCTCAAACCACACAGCTTGAGTAGAATCACAGAGTATCTCAAATTGGAAGATACCCATAAGAACCACTGAGTCAAATTCCCTGCTTCTCACAGGACCACTTAATACTGAACCACATGACTAAGAGCATCATTCAGATGGTCTTTGACAAGTTTAGTGCCCTGACCACTTCCCTGGAAAGTCTGTTCCAGTACCCAGCCACCCTCCCAGTGAAGCAGATGTTCCTACTGTGCAGTCTGAACCTCCCTTGATGCAGCTTCATTCCATGTCCTTGTGTCCTACTGCTGGTCACCAGAGAGAGGAGATCAGCACCTCCCCATCTGCTGACCCCCTTGAGGAAGGTGTAGACTGTGATGGGGTCACCCCTCAGCCTTCTCTTCTCCAAGCTGAACAAAACAAGTGACCTCAGGTGCTCCTCCTAATCCTTGTCCTGAAGCCTTTTCCCCATGCCTGCTCTGGATCCACTCTCAATAGTTTGATGTCCTTGCATTGAGGTGCCCATGGCATCTTTTGATTGACACAAAAGTACTGACAGAGTACTTGTGTCTTGTGCCCTGTTCAACAGTGACTGTCTCACCACTCCCAGATTTCACCAAAATCATACCCATTCCTAGAAAACCTTTTTAAATCAGCAGGCGTTCTGTCTGAGCCAGGTTGAGTACCATTTACAGCACAGCAGCCCTGGGTTTGAAATTCCTATGGAGAGCAGTAGGCCAGATCAATAGAAACAAAACCTGAGTCAGAGTAGAAGCAATAAACCTCACATTACTGCCTGAAAAGGAACAAAACATTCTCCTGATAGGCTACCTTGATGCTTAGGTCAAGCATGATACCTGCACCACGGCAGAATCTGACCCAGCAAATCAGAGATGTTGAGAATGAGAGTCCAACATGTCACTTTACAGGTTAGGCACAGGACAGCATCAGAATGCAAATGTTTTTTAAAAATGCAGCTCTGGGGTTTTTTTCTTGCAAGAGGTCAAAAAAATTTTTAAAAATATGTTTTGATGTTCCCAACCTATAAGGTATGAGCAGCATCTTTTATTTGCATTCTCAGCAAAAACCAGAAACGAGTATAAAATGAGTATTCAGTGTCATAAGGTAACTCAAATGTAGGCTCTAGATCTGTCGCAAGTGGCCAAAATGAAACCGAGGAATGGCAATCCAGTAATTTAAGCATAAATTGCACACCAGTCCAAGAGGCAGGTTTCCTCCATCAGTAGCTGTGAAAAAGGCATGCGTTGCATGTACAAAGAGATGCACTCTGCAGGGTCGGTGTTTGCAAGACAGCATGCCTTCTCACACATAGACACGCCAGCCCTGACAGCCCAGGACACGTACAGGTGCAATTATGAACATTCTGCTGGGCTGGAAGCCTTGCGTACCGCCGTGGGAGCGGTGGAGCGGGCACACAGGCATCGCGAGTGGAAGCGAGCGCAGGGAGCGCCTCAAGGGCCGCGCTGGCCACGCTCCGCTCGGGCTCCCCCGCGGCGCCGAGGCCCAGCCCGGGCTCCGCCGAACGCCCCCAGCCCTGGAGCATCCCTTCCCTTCCCTTCCCTTCCCTTCCCTTCCCTTCCCTTCCCTGCACCAGCCGCCGCACCCAGCGCGCCGCGCTCGCTTCGGGCGGACAATGACCGGCGGGCATACAATGGTGCAGGGCCGGCGGGAGGCTGAGGCGGCTGCGGGCTGCGCCTGCCACACCTCTCCCGCCATCTCCTCTCCATCACCGCTGGCTCCCGCTCGCGCTCCCCTCCCGTCCATCACCTCCATCCGCGCCGCCGCCCCGGGGCCCGCAGCCGGCCGGTCATTGTTCTACCGCCGCGGGCACCGGGCGACCCTCTCGGCCGCTGCCGCCGCTCACCGTGCCGCCAAGGAAAGACGCCGAGCGGCGAGGCATGAGCACGGCGCATCCATCTTCCTGCCGCCGCGGCGGCTCCAGCGCCCGCACCGGCCCCGCCGCCTCCTGCGCGCCGGCGCTGAGGGCGCGCGCCCGCCCCGCCGCCGCCGCCCCGCGGCCGAGGCTGCGCTGCCGGTCCGGGGCTGCGGCAGCCCCGCCCGCCCCGCCGCAGCTGCGCCCCGGCAGAGCAGGCAGCGCCGCGGGGAGCGCGGCCCGCCCGGCTGAGGGGTGCCCGCGGCGCCCGGCTCCCTCAGCACTGCCTGCCGGCGGGGCCCCAACAAGCCAGCCTCTGAGGGCGAAGGGCCGCCGCCCTCGGACCACAGTGACTCGAGGGGTCCGGAGGCTCCGTGGCCTCAAGCTGGAGCTCGCCCCAGGCCTTGCGACTTCCGAGGGACACACCTCATCACTAGTCTCCATTTGGACAGCACGTCAATGGCCACTATATTGGGGAGTGTGACCTTCGTCACCCTGGGGTCCACCTATCCAATCCATGTCTTTCCAGCTTAGAGACAAGGACACTGTCTGGAAGCCACAGTATCAAACGCTTTGCACAATCACAAGTAAATGACACGAGTCACTCTTCGTTTATCCACCAGCACATTAATCCCCACGCAGAGAGGCAGTACCAAGTTTATCAAGCACAATTTGCTTGATTGTTCCAGTACCCTAGTGACAACAATTTTATAAATGGTCTCACTGATATCCTCAGGTTTGCATGGAATTAGAAGAGTTCTTGGAAAAATACATCAAGATCCAGTTTCACTGTTGAAAACCATCTGCAGTAGAAATGGTTGTTGAATGGATACTATGGAACATAGAACAGTAATTTCTAGAGATGCCCAGAACTAAGAACATGGGTTCCCTCTGCTTCATGGAAATGCAGCAAATGCATGGTACAGAGAGCCCAGGGCTGTGACCCAGGTTTCCTGATGTGCCCACCTGTACGACTGGTCTCATGAAACACAGGAAGCTATGGCTAAATGGGAAGGGTTTATAAATGCTTTGTCCTTCATTTAAAGTCATGTCACAGACATAGGGGTGTGGCTGTAAATTCTGAAAATTTATAGGCTGTAAATTCTGAAACAAAGGCATAATTATCTTTTTGCCTTCTTAACAAAATCATCCATTATAGTTCATTTGATTCCATTGCTACAGTACACATGGAACCTGAACCATAAAGCCCAAGAACTGTAACTTCATTATTTTTCAATTGTGCTATCCCAACTGCTTTTCTACTGAAAGACAAAACTATCCATCAGATCTACAGTGAGAACTCAGACAGCTGTCACCTGAGGCTACTTGGGATTCCTCTGACATTTACCAATCCTTTAACATATCCATGGGACCTATCTCTAAGTGCCTATTCTACTGCTGTGTAGTTCAAGACAAGCAAAAGTCATTACGTAGAAAGATAGGTAACAGTTTCTGATGAGGACAGCAGTGATACCACTAAGAGGTCCTCCAAAGAAGTGCAGTAAAGACCAGAGGTAACTTGGCAGAATCAAACTTAAAATGTATTTTAACTCAAGCAGACAGCTCTTCCAAATGCCTTACTTAGCAGTCCTGTGTAGTGGGACATGTCTGGCCTCTGACTGGAATGACTTTGTGAGAAGTAGAGCAGGTTCTCACACTGCAGCACAGGCACTTTGACATCAGGCTCCCCTTTCCCTGTTGGGGCCCGTCTCTCTTCAGCTGTGGGCTCTGCTAACTCCTTCCCTTTATGGGAGGGCAACAACAAAAGGAGGAATTTCCCGAGAAAGAAGTGGTTGCATGTCCCACTTGCGATGTCACATCCAATGCACAAGTCAGAGGTATCAGAATTGTTCATGGAGTTACAGAAGACAGATTGAGGGGGGAGACACGACGTGTGGGAGTGTTGTTGGCTGACAATGATGCCGGAAGGAAAAAGGGAGCGGCAACATCTGCGGATGATGTTTCTCCTTGGTTGCGAAGCTGTAAGATCTGGCGCAGCAGGGCTTTTCCTTCTTCTCTAGTCTGAAATTAATTTGTAGAAAACAGAACAGTACAACTATGAATGGATGGTTTCTGGGTCAAATTCAGTATGTAAGCAGTGTAACTTAAAGCAGCTTGTCATTCTGTAAGGCTACAAGCTATAAAAGCCATTCTCAACTCTTTTTTCTTCTGCTCCTTAGAAATGTTAAGGTAAATCACTTTTTTTAATTTTAGTCTTTCCTCCTTTTACTCCTGATTGGTGTGTTTCTTGGGTATTTCAGAGAACAGAACCACCAACCACTGAAGCTGTCTAAATATTCCAGCAAGTAGATTGGGAAAACTTTGAATAAGGTGAACTCAGGTTGGAGAGAGCTCCAGGCAGCTTTGTCAAGGATAAGCCAAACACCCTGCACTCATGGTTAGTGTCGCTAGGCTGAAATTAAAAATCCCAAACTGCCCACTTACAGATACATAACATCACAGAGTATGAAGCTGCACACAAAACCCAAGTACTATTATACTCTCTGCGCCATCTACACAAAGAAGATGAGGAAAAAAGTTTTGAAAGTACCACCACTACACAGTGTGTGGGAGTTTGTGACCATTCCACTACCTCCTCAACACCAATATTTTTAGCAGCTTTAAGACTGCCATTTGAAGCTTCAAATTCTTTTACTTAGTGAATTCCAATGAGGTATGGTTCAGTTTCACTATCTATACCACATTCCATGACTTTAATCAAACATACTCAGCATAACTGATCAGGCATAGATAACAACCACCATTCAGGATGCAACTTGTATGGCAGACAGCCCTTATTCATAGAAGACTCCTTTCAGTCTGAGGGGAGCCAAGATCAAGGTCATAGATCCCTTAAGAAAGAAGCACCAAAGACTGCGCAGGTACTCACATCATTGAAGGCACAGCATTTCTGAGCACATGCTGAGGCTTCATCCCAAAGCTTACATTTGAAGTAGTACTGGGCCAGGTAACGAAATGCAGTACTGACCTCCAGGTGCTCCACTACCTCCTACAGTGAGTGGGGTATAAAACATCATTTTTAAGTGCCTTCCTAAGTAGCTGTATACCATGTTTACTTCTCCTTTTATTCCCAAGCTATCTTCTTACCCCACAGGAATAGATATCCTGGATGTATTTGATGTAGCATTGAGCTGCCTGTTCAGATTCATTCAGCTGTTCATGCAACCTACAAAAGGAAAAAAGTGGGTCACTGGAACAAGGCTGCCCTGTTGAAGATGTTCTTGGTCTGTGAGAATGTACCTGCTCACCCTGACCTGGACTAAAGCCAGGTCCTTTCCTTCAGAATTTGCAGGACATGCAACATGTACAACCCCTTGTGGAAGGAGATGATCCAGTTTGCATTCATGCTGACAGACAGAGAAGCAGTCAGATAGTGACTAGACAGCTAGAAGCAGTGACCTTTGTATATTCTGTTGCATTTTAAACCTTTTAACAGACCTTTGCCATTCTACTTACTCACTATTTCCTCCAGTGCTCCTTCTTCCCCTGCTACAATCCAAATTTGTACAGCAGTTTCACTTTTCATTCGCCCCCTTTTTTCCCCCTCTTCGCTTTTCCCACTTCATACTGCTTTATCCCCACCAAAAAAAAATTAGTGCTGATGTCACAGTATTCACATTAGACCTCTTTCAATGTCACAGCTATATACTAGAAAGGAAATATAAAACCAAGCTACAATTTTATACATCATGTACTGTCATGGTCTGCTTTTAAGTTGCAATACAACAAATACAATTGCTAGTACTACATGCTCAAAACACCTCAGGATTCAGAAGTCATTTGCAACCCACATAATGCTATCATTCTCTCTAGTTATCCTGATGGAAACAAAGATAAAGCTGGACACCAAAATTTGCAGTCACTACAGCCCTAAAGATATCAATTCTTACACAGCTCCAAAAGTAATATTAGCTAACAGCAATTCCATTTGTTTACATTCTGTATTTTATCATTAGGTATCAAAGTATGACTTGCATTCAACACAACCGTGACAGTTCAGTGAGGGTACATACTCACTTGGCGAGTTTCACAAGTGCCATTTTCTCCACATCTCCCACAGCATAAGCTCTCCAATAGCACTGTCAAGGAAGGAAAGTCAGTGAAGCATGCCACAAAAATTAGTCCAGTTCATGACTCCAGCATGCAAATCAGAAACAAAAAATTACAGGGATTGTCAGCAAAAAGGGCATGTATCTGTAGACCACTCCTTATTTATCAGCTGCTCTAGTTATACTGCAGCAGTACTTCCCCAACTGTAACTGCCAATGAGTTTAGGTAGCACTAGCTATATAATTTTGCTGCAATTTCACCCAGTGTTCTGCAAGGCACCCTAGTCTTACACATCAGTTCTCACCTTCTTAGCTTCCACCAACTGATTGAGTTTCTCATAGCATTCTCCTAGAGCAACCAGCATACGAGAGTCATTTGGTCTGTAAAAGAGCAATTCTTCAGGTAGTTTAATGGACTGCCAGCTGATCTCAGGGTGAGGGGAAGATGGGGGGTGGTCAAGGGAAAAAAATAATCTACACCTGGCAGTCTGTCATCCTTCTGCATAAAGCATCACTCTTACTCCTGACCAGTCACCCCCAACATTTAACTGACAAAGCTTTTGTTAACAGTTAACTAACACAACTAAAAGGATTTGGAACAGTGGGACTGCACACATCACAAAGCATAGATGTTTTATTCCTTCCCCAACTTAGTTCTTGCATGTAAATTCCTTAGCCAGAATCAACCAGGTCAGAATGAAGACCAAAAAACACAGCTCCATTCTCAACTCTACCTGAGCTGGTGGGCCCGTCGGTAGTAGTAGAGACAGTAAAATGGCATTTTGAGGATTTCATAGGTTTGCCCCAAGCCATACCATGCTCTGTAGTCCCTTTTGTTCACCTCTATTGCATGCCTGTCAATGAAAAGGAGATGAACTAGACAGAAATTCAGGATCAAAACCAAGACCAGCAAAAACACTAAGAAAAAATAGAAGATACTACTTCAGAAGCAAACACAATTTTGTGCAGTACATGAGCGGTACCTATAAGCCTGGATAGCTGCAGATGTGTTCTTCATCTCCATATACTCATGTCCCATAAGTGTCCAGGCTCCTAGATAACGAGGATTCAGTTTCAAGGCCCTCTGGAAATAGAGTGCTGCTTTTTCATGCTGGGAACGCAAGCTATAATAATTTCCTAAAGTAAAAGGCATAATATTTAAATAATTTTTTAAAAACCCACAACCAACCAACAAAAAAAGCCAACTCCAATAGAGAAGTAGAAAAAATGATGTAATGTGTATTATCTACTACCTCCTAACAAATTTTAAAAGAGTCCTAATAAAGACAGAACTAATTTAAACCTCAAGAGACCTAATAGCACTCTGTTCACCAGTCTTCTGGTCAATCCTTTTCCAGCTGTACCAATCCATTTATAATTCCATCGCCTTGGAGCGTCATGATCTAAGAAATCAATTTCCTGCTCCTGACACACAACTATTTCTACTGGAGTTTGAAGACTATAAAGGGATTTTTAGGTACATGGGTCTACTTTCTACTCTAGTACTATTACAGCAGCCTTCAGAGAGAAATGAGGGAAAAGGGTACACTGTCATTTTGTCTGCTTTTCAGGCTGCCTGAATCCAAATTCAAAAAGTGGCGATTTTAATTGCCTTGCCAGCTTATCACTTCCTCAAGTGTTTCTAAGATTCCCTCACACAGCCTACACGCAGCAAAATAAGATGTAAAAATAACATGTTACAGAATTGGCTCTCACCAATTACACAGCAGGTCTCAACACGGTACTTGTCTATCTCACAGAGATTATGAGCCAGGTAGCTCAACTCAGGCTTCATGCCCTAGTGGAACAAAAGAATCAAGTAATGAGAGAGCACATTATGCTTTGAAAGAAATTGCAGTAAACAATTGGCAATGCATACATTGCCTCTCTTCCATGGAGTTGGGAAGAGGAGAGCAAGTATTCAGAGAGGCCAGACACCACCAGCTGCTTCGCCAATGTTTAATATACCTCCAACAAACACCATCACTATGGACAGGCCACAGGAAGAATGCTTACCCTTACATAGAGTAAGTTGGAGAAAGTGTCCATGTTTTCTATCCTGTAAGGATCTTGTTTCCTTAGCTCATTAAAGATCGATAAAGCTTTGTCAATATCTGATGAAAGAACAGCATATGGGACATCAACAACTATAAATGCCCAGTTTGCATTAAGGGGGTCATTCCCACTTAGTGTCACTGACCTCTTATATTGTGGTAGGCAACTGCAATCTGAGAGATTATATAAGTGCTTTTGGAAAATCCTGCATCAATGAGAGACTGATACTTCTGTAGAGCTTCCTCTATCAGCTGCAGCTCTGTATAAATGTGTGCAAGAAAGAACTCTTTCATCCATGTATCTGGCAAGGACAGGAACTTCAGCTAGCAAGAATCAAAGAAAAGAGATGACAATCAGAAGTATTCTACAAGGTACACGTCGCAAAGAATCCATTATCTTCCCTCCAATGACTCAATAGATGGTCCTGAGGTAGGAGGCCTTCCTGCAGTCACTTTCTTAAACCCATTTGGTCAATCAGGGAAGAAATTGCCTTCAAATATGACATTACCTGGCTCTTGCTGAAGCTATTAAATTCGGACTTTCTTCCTATGTTTAAACATCAATATCGTAACACTAATTTCAATGAACCATGTAAGCAGACTCAAAATTATGTAACAAAACTGCACTTCCTTTTTCCACAAACTGGTAACACTCTTCTCCATCACTTTTTTAAATATTTTTAAGTACTGTTTTAAATACTTCATCATTCAGAATTTACTGAAGAATTCCAGAAGTGGACTCAAATTCCATACAGAAAGAAAAATAATCTATTTTGGTTTTATATCTGAAGTTAGTTTCCCTGATACAATTCACCTCCTATGTGGCTTTGTACATTATCTTTTCAGCTTTGAACGCAGAAATTCTATATATCCTTTCAAGCTATGAGAAGTGCTCAATAACTGAGGAATTAGAATCAGATTAATAAAAAATAAAAAAGGCACACCTCTTAGGAGGATCTCCTTCATGTGACAAGATGATAACTCCTGACAGTGACAATTGCTTCCAAAAATACATGAATTGGAAATTTCTTAAACCACTTTGCGGGGGAATGATAAGAAATTAGCCATGCCTGTATAAGATTTTCAAGCTGTAGCACAACAAGCTATTGAAGATAAAGAGGATTTTACAACATAATTTACAGTCATGGATTGCCTTGCCTGACAGTGTCTCACGGAATGAAGCAGTGGGCAACATCAATCTTGTGGAAACAGAAACTGGTCACTGAATCAGGCTAAACTCTTGAGCTTTGTTACCACATCTTGGTATCTCCAAAGTTTTACCATCTCTTTATCTGTAATCAAGTTGCAAAGTTCCAGCCAAGCTCCCCAGTGCAAAGGCAGAACATGAGCAGCTTCAACAAACACATCTATTGCTTCTTTCACCAGGTCCAGTTTCCGCAGCACAACACCATACCTGCAAAAAAAAAGTATCAGGTTGACAAGAATCATGCAATTCTGCATATCCACACAAATATTTAAGAAATACGTGCCAACACTTACAGATAAAGGCCAAATCCATCCAGTTCCTGTGCCTTGTGTTTCTTGCTGAGCTCAACTCTCAATTCTCGTAGAGCTTCATTTTTCACCTGTCCTTTTTCCAGAGGTCCTACATGAAGAGAAAGTCACACAGCTGGCTTTCAATAAGGAGTCTCACCACAGCAATGCCAAGTCTAGGGTACAGTCAGAATTATCACTGACATGACGGCTTCCCAGCCTGTGTTTATGTTCCCCATTTTTAAGAAAATTGCTTAGTCTGGTCACCCAGTTTAAAAGAGGACCCCTAAGAGATGAAAATCTGCAACCTGTAATTAAGCCAATGAATCAAAAGAGAAAGAAAGAAATAATGTTACAGAACCTATTACCCAAAAAATTGAGGGGAAAGCCATAGACCCAGGATGAGTTACAAGAAGAATCAACAGCAAAAGCTTCATTATCTCATCATGCATTTCTTGACACCAGAGACTTACCCAAACTATCAACTGTCTCATCATCCTTTTTCTTTTCCCCTGACTGTGGAAAAGAAAGAAAATCCAAGATTATATTATAATAGTGTTTTTCTTCTGTTTGCTGCAGCACTTGCAGCAGTGTTTAAACTGAGTTTTCACAGACAGCACAGTTCTGAAAAGAACAGCTCTATCTTTCTTTACCCCAACACAGAACTTGGACTTCAAGGTGGTCATTAGGAACCAAGCAAAAGAATAAGCAAAAAAATAAGATATGCCAGGGAGGGGTCGGAAGCAGAGGAGTTCAGTGCTAGGAGGCAACCCTTTTTCTACCTTACCAGGTATCTGGAGTACATGTACAAGAAGTAAGCTTTCTGGCTCTTGCAGCCCTGTAAAAAGTAGGCAGCCCTGTCATATTCCTTGAGATCAAAGTAAGACTTGGCCAACGTGTAGGCATCCAGATCACGAGCATCCTCCTGCAGGGACACACAAGAGTTTTAAGACCCGAGAAGCTCTGACATACTTTAGGAAAATCACGGTTACAAACAGAGCAGTGAAATTGCTCCAAAAGCTAAAAATGTAGTTTGTCCATCTTTAGAGATGGTTTCAGTAGTATCAGAAAAGTTCCTCCACTCCCTCACATGATCCGATTCTAGAGTTCTCAAATAACAAGTACAGACTATTTAAGAACAATTAAAATAAATGGTAAGATTTCAGAAACAAATTGTGGCAAGCTGCCAGAAGGCAAGGCTTAGCTGTTCAATTAGTATGAAAAACCATAAACAAGATATCTACTCAGGAATTCCACATAAGAGAATATTAATCTGCTAACATACAAGAGAACACTTCCTTGGTAATTATACCTTGAAATGCATTTATGACTTGTTACACTTCTATAACACACCAGGACACACACTCCTGAGTTCTACTGTATTCCTACAGAGGTGGGGATTGAGACACAACTTATTTCTCTTGTGTCTTAGCAAGCACAAGTTTAATGGCAAAACATAATTTTTATTAAAATAAATTTTGACCTCAGTAAAGAGGAATAAAAATAAACTAGCAGGCATATGATTTCAAATTTGGCTTACAGAGTGCTCCATTTAGGACACAGCAACAGATAATGCCTTCATCTGGGAAAGCACATTAAGCTCTCTGGCCCTGTTGAACACACTATGGAAAGGATGTTCCCAGCATAATGGCAAGACAGGAGCTCAGCGCTGATCCCGCTCGTGGGATTTGGAAGATTGCAATCACGTATTTTCCTCCACAGTTAAGATTAAAAAGCCCACCCACACGAGCTGCAGCACCTTCCAGGGCTCGCAGCCACTTCCCCCCAAGCACAGCCTGGGCCCGTACCTCGGTGAGCACGGGCGGAGGCGGCAGCTCGCTCAGTGGCAGTGGCTCCAGGGCGAATGCAAGTTCAGCAGCCCTGAGGGAAAGAGAGCAGTAGGATTATTGAATCATCGAGGTTGGAGGAGACCTGTGAGATCATCAGGTCCAACCGTCGGCCCAGCACTACCAGTGTAATCCCTAAACCACATCATCTAGCGCCAGATGCAGACACCTCTTAAGAACCTCCAGTGACTCCACCACCTCCCTGAGAAACCTATTTCAGTGCCTGACCACCTGAACATTCAAAAAACATTTTCCAATATCTTATCGAATCTCCCCTATCTCAACTCAGGGCCATTTCCTCTGGTCCCCTCCCCGCAGGCACAGCAGAAGAGACTGGCTCCCACCTCACTGAGAACTCCTTTCAGGGAGTTGCAAAAAATGATGAGGTACCCACGAGCCTCCTCTTGTCGAGACGAAACAAACCTAGCTCTGTCCCATCCTCCCTCCCGGCACAGAACGTTAGCCCGGGGTCCGCCGAGCTATGCCCGGCCCCGCTCACCACTTCCCGCTGTGCTGCAGCCCGCGCTCGCGGCTCCGCTCCGCCACACTCAGCAGCTGCTTCTTGATCTCCCGCAGATCCGAGAAGTCGCTGCCGCCCGCCGCCGCCACCATTGCCCCCGCCGCCATCGCGCCAGCCCGGCCAATCACGGCCCCGCCCGCCGGCCCAGCCAATCACAGCCCCGCACACTGCGTGCCCACTAGCCAGCCCGACCAATCACAGTCCCGTCCGCCGTTCCGGCCAATCGCAGCCCCGCACACTGCGTGCCCGCCTGCCGGCCCGGCCAATCAAAGCCTCGAGCACTGCGCTCCCCCGCCCCTATACGGAGTCGTCTGCTTGGGCGAGGGCGAGAGGTCTCGTGACCAATCCCAGGCGCACGCAGGAGCCGTGCCGCCTGATTGGCCGGTTGTGGCGGCCGCGCGCAGGAGCCGTGCCGCCTGATTGGCCGGTTGTGTTTGAACTGGCAGCAAGTTCGCTGATGGAGAAAAGAGTGGCGCCCCGTAAAAGATTTCTGGTTTTTAGATGAGTGTCATTTGTAAATGACACTAATTCTTACACTGACTCCAGTATAGAGTCTAAGGCTACCACTCGCCTTCACTGTAGTGATGACTACTATGAAAATTTCAACGTTGCGTTGATCTGGAACCGTTTCATCTGGAGCCACCTGCTGAAATTAAGATTCCTCTACAAAGGTTTACAGATATATGAAATGCTCAGCCTGTCCTTAAAGTGGAAAATGATGAGTTATTTATAGTCTTCAATGGTTTTTCAAATAGACAAAGCAAATTAGACCATTACTTGAAGTATAATTTTAGTGTTACATGTGTTTTTCCCTTTCTTAATTTTAGCCAAATGTTTTGCAAGTTCAGTTGTAGCTTTGACAGAAAATACTTCTATTGCTCTGTCGGCCCATATATCCAAAATGCGAATAAAAACTTCTTTGTTGTTGTTACTACACAGATGGGCCTAGTCAACACAAAGCCTAACTCATACCTCGTTCTCTCTCTCTTTGCCCCATCTCAGAACACATGTGAAAAGAGCTTCAGAATTTTTTTCGATAATACATTTCTGTTGTACTTCCCATCTCTTTTATGTTCTTCATAGGTAGGGATCAGGTGTTAGTGCTCTACGATCCTAAACATTGTATTTCGTATTCGTTTGAGTCCATTAGTTGGACTCAATGATCTTATCCAGTCTAAATGATTCTGTGATTCTCTGCTGGTTTTAATATAAGGATGTTCAGTTTTCACATGAATACAAAGAGTGGTATTTAAAGAAATCTGTATGTGTGTGTGAGGTCTATGAAGTAATTTTATTAAGGTCTGTTTATCTTCAGTTTTGGGCCCACTGGGTATTATGTGCTGTTTTCCCAATGGAAACTGTGACAATATGTTTGAAGTGAGATTTCAATACAAAACACTGAATCTGCTGCAAAAATGCACGAAGCGCTACTTCTCTTCTTGTGGAAATCTAGGCAAAATATCCTTTGAGTCGAGTTCCTGTGTGTGAGCCCTGGGCAGCTGTGACCCAGCTTTTCCCATGCCTGCTCCTCAGGAAGAACAGCGTTTCTGGCAGCGGTGACACCGGTGACACACGGCGCTGCCCGTAGCAATTCGCGTTTCGGTCCCTCAGGCGGGTTCGGCTCCCGGGGCCTTCCCGCGGCCGGAGCCGGACCCGGCGCTTCCGCTGCGCGGCAGCAGGGGGCGCTGCGCGCTCGCGAGCGGCGGGGCGGGGCGGGGCGGGGCGGGCGGGACCGGCGGGGCCGGCGGGGCGGGGCGGGCGGGGGCGGCGGGGCGGGCGGGTCGGGGCCGGCGGGGCCGGCGGGGCGCGCTCGGGCGGGCCCGGCGGTGCCGCGACTCCGTAACGGGAACTCGCGGCTCTCCGCCGTTCCGTCCTCTGATAGATGGCTCTGAAGTGACACCCGAGGCTGGCATTTCGAGCCAGGAGACTAATTAAATCCTCTGTGCGTGAAAACAGACAGACAGCATCTTGGGGAAATACAGATTAACTGAGCAGTACTGACTGGATGCTCTAGGAAGAGGGGACCTTGTGCCCCTTGCTATTCCACAGCTTCCTGGATGGGATTGGCTCTAGTCCCTCAGAGAAACATATTGACACAAAGAAGGAAGGTCGGTGATGGAAGGGTGGGAATCGTGTCCATCATCCCAATGGGTTGTGTAGGTGCTTTAAAAGGAATTTTTTTTTCAGAGTGGAGATCTTCAAATGTACAGTTAATCTCGATGAAATCCTGTGTAAGTGGTCTTTACCAAGTGAAGTGTCTTGCCAATACAGTTCGTTTCATCTGTTGACAGTTAGAGAATTGAACTTCTTTATTATGATGCTGTAAAACTGTGTTTTTTAACTTTTTAGAAGATCAACCATGATTACAGTTTGCTGTATAATTTTACACTGAGAAGCCTGATGTTATAAGAGCTTATTTTCTACTACTGGTTGTATTTTCCATTTAGTATAGTTAACACAACTCCCACTTTTGCTTTTTGTAGTCTGTTGGGACATCATTAATGTTAAAACATGAAAACCTTGTGACTAAAGTATGAGGGAAACCATTTATACTTGATTTAAATTGAAACGAAATAATACATTTGCACCAACTGGGGATAGTTTCAAAGGGTAGGATGCCTGAATTTCAGGAAATCTGCCTATGACTCAGTTAATATAGCATTGTGACATCAGAGTAGGCTATTGTGAAGTCAGTAATGTCATTTTCCCCCCCTCTCTCTCTTGTTCAGATCTCAGTTGTTTTCTTGGGAGGTTAATTGAGATGAAGTGATATAAAATGCCTCTGAGAGCTGTGGACTAATGCAGCAAAAGTGTTTATTGTGTCTGAATCACTTCTCCATATCTGAAAAATTCATTGACTCATGCCATGTATTTTCTAGTTTTAGGAGATTTGGTTTAATTGCAGCTTTTGATGAGCTTGGAAGTAGTAGCAGTTGGGCGTGCATATCTAGCCCACACACTCTGAGGAAACCTGCACACACCATTTGCTTAGCATATTGCCCACTAAGACCTCTGGATATCACAGTGAGATTCTAAAGAATCATGCAGATACTGTTATTCAAGAACCTTCATGTTGTTACTAAACTGCAGTTTCCTATTTAATGGAGTGTGGACTTGCTCCCTTTTCAGGAGACCAAGAAATTTGTTCTAACCAGTTGTCAAAATTATGGTTAGGCTGAACATAAGGAACTAGGAATTTGTTTGATTGGGTTGTATTTAGTGTGCCACTGTGCATCCTTGAAGTCATGGAGGAGAAGGGAGTCTGCATGCGACACAAGGAGTGGTGATCATTTTGCCAGCTGGAATCTGCAATTGCTGAGCAGCCTGGGCAGCGCTGAGCCCCTGCAGCTCCACTGGCATTGCTGTCTGACACAAGGTGTGCTGTGTGCTGAGAAGGTTGGTCCTACACCTGTCATCCTCCCTTCAGGGCTAATGGCTATGTACCCAGGCAGTAATGAAAAACTAATTTGGTTTCAAATCCATTGCTGTTTTTTCTTGTGGCTGCTGAAGTCAAGAGTGAGGCAAGTGAATTTGGGAAGGCAAAACTGCCACTTTTGTTATTGATGAAAGCTTATGCTGGAGTAAGTAGAAGTCAAGAAGTCATTGATATGCAATGATTTCTTTTTCCCTACCCTCCCTCTAGGAGGGAAGTAAATAGTGCTGCTGGTAAAAAAAAAAAAAAAAAAAAAAAAAAAGTAAAAAAGCTGCTGCTACTTTCTTTATGTGCAAGCTTTGTTACCGAGCAAGTCAGAACAGACAGAACAGATTTCTAGTCAGGAAAGTCAGGAAACTTACAAATTCTTTCTGAAAATGCTTATTTATATTTAGTGTGTCCAGGCACTTTCCCCACCCTTTTCATTATACTTACTCTCCATTTGAGAAAAGAGGAGGATATTTCATGGTGAACAACAATCCGTTGCTATGTTTTAAGGCAATACTGTTTTATACAGTTTTGACCTTGCAAAATAACTAAATTCCTGGTACCCACAGCTCCTCCTGATTGTAGAAGGGGATTTACAGTTGCTCAATGCTACACAAAATCAGAATGCTAGGTAGCATTTCCATTTAGCATGAGTGTTACTGAGAGGATATATATTTAATAGGAAGGATGTCATCATCAACTTGATCTTTTCAAATAAAACACAGTGTTTCTTTGATGTTCTTTTGAACCTTAGCATTTAGTATTTTCTGCATACTGCATCAATGAAAAAGCAATTCTTTAAATAGCTGCTATAAAACCACTGAATCTCCAGAAAAGAATGTTCTGTTTTCTGCATAAAAGTTCCTATGAGGCAAATGAAGGCACAGTGCAAAGTAAAGCTCTATGTACTGGAGAACAAAAGCAAAACAAAGGTGGATAGTTGTCAAAAGGGTATGGCTGACATCTTCACGAATATTCTGAAGATGTTGGTACTCTGGATAGCTTTGTAGAATTTACCTTGAAGAATCGCTTGTCTTGGCAGCTATGGACAGCTTATGAAAGTTGATGACTCTCATCATCACTGCTCAAGAGCAGAAATCCTAACTAATGTCTGAGCAGGACGATGAAGTAAAGAGAGTCACCTAGGTTTGCTTTTGATTTGATTTTGCTTTTTTCTTTGGTTGGTTGCTTTTGGTTTTGTATGTTTGAGGGTTTTTTTAATAGCCAGAGTAAGTAGAAGTTCAGCAGGTGAGTAAATGAATGATAGTTGAGGAGTTTATGAAGCAGAACTCTTGGGCTGTGTGTTGTCCTTTACTCCTATGGGAGAAAACTAGTATGTGATAGGAAGAAACTTGTGTAAAACATGGTACTTTAGAAGGCTTTTTGGACCACTATAGAAACTTTCTTCATTCATGAAATATTTCTGTTTCATCATCTTTGTGGCCCTTTGTAGGACTCTTTGCAGTAGGTCTGTGTCTCTCCTGTACTGGGGAGACCAAAACTAGACAAAGCACTCCAGGTGTGGCTTCAGCAGCGATGAGTAGAGGGACAGGATCACCTCCCTCAACCTGCTGACAATGCTCTTCCTAATGCAGCCCACTCTGTCTGTGTTTGTGTGCAGCCTGGTGCCTCCAGGATATCCAGGTCCTTTCCTGCAAAGCAGCTTCCTGTTGTACCCAGGCATCCCCAAAG